TCGGTTGATAATGACATATTGTGCAGATTTATCTGCGCGCCTTATTAATATACAACAAAAAATGACAACCTCACTTCCAACCCGGCGCTTAACCAACAACGAAAACAAAGAAGTAATAAAAACTAGCATCGTAAATAGTGACAAAGAAGAATATGATGCTATCGATGAAGAAAAGGAGACCAAAGAAGATGACCAGCCAATAAAGAAACCTGACACCTAATTCGCATCAAAGTTCAATTTTATAACACCAAAGTTAATTTTTACAACGTCAAAGTTCATCTTGACAAAGTCAATATTTCCCTATATATACAGCAAGGAGCACTGATGATGATTCATTCGGAATCGAAATATGGCCTTATTTGCAGCATGAATTTGAAAAATAAGTTTATTTTGAATTTTAATAAACTAAACGTTCACCAAAAAATTTTAGTGAGAAAAATCGAAAAAACGAACTACAAACATATTAACGCCAAACATTCGGTAGAATTTATAGAATATTGTAAAAATATATATATATATATATATATATATATTAACACAATATATATATATATATATATAACACAATATATATGTATATAATACACATTCATAAGTTTTATATGTAATATATTACTGTATAAAGTAGATGATGATCATCATGTTTATTTGGTCTGGCGTTTGCTTGGTTGTATTCTTTTTTATTCTTTATTTTATTCTATATTTGTAGCGATATTAACCTGTGTAGGATGGAATGTGAGAGATTTGTTGGATTGATTTAAAATGACTGAGATTGCATGCCAACTGGCCAACGACAAAATTTCTCGTGTTTTTAAGAGCCTAAAGCTTTTAAAATGGAAAAAAATATATTTTATAAGATTATTTAAAATATTTATGATTAGAACATTTTATTTATATAATGAAATTTTGAATTACGGTGGTGCGATGGTGTAATGGTTTAGGTGGCTGGCATTGTTGGAGCAGTGTCCGAGTTCGAATGCGAAGAAATCCACGCCTATCTCGTGCAACAGTGTGTGATGCTTTGTTTCACGTGTATTTGTACACTGTGTGTTCCTTGTAAAGATAATATTGAGCCTTAGCCGCTTGTCATGGCGCTATATAAAATGACATTATTGTAACATTGTTATCATTATTGAATAACATATTTAAAAAAGCAAAAGGACACGCAGTTAAACTTATCAATTTTAAACAGTTTTAAAAAAATTCACATGTCCGACTCATTTTGAAAGCAAAACTTTTCAGCTCGTTAGATGATGAAAAAGTTGACAAAATTTTTTTTACATTTTCTGAAGGAAGGCGAATTCGTTGTCAAAAATCAGCAGATGTTAAAAAATTAATTTTTATCGTTTAAATTTTTTCGTGTTCAACTTTTCGTGAAATATTTGTTATTGGCTTTTTAGAGTTCGATTGAATTGAGCATACCTTATGGTTACAAATGTGTGTGTTCATGGCAGGGACTTCGTTAAGAAACTTGGGTGCATTTATAATCTCTTTCTAAGTTATTAAAAAATTCAACAATAGCTACACTATTGACATAAAATTTTATTTAATCACAAAATAATTTAAAATCGAGATGTATATTTAAATAACAAATCTTTTAGTTAACAAAAAATTGATTTGGGCTTTGATTCTTAGAAGCCTTTTAAAGGGGCCAATGTCACGCTTTTAATGCCATTTTTGAACCTCTCCCCCCTCCCTGTAACACCCAACCCCCCTTTACGACCTATAATCTGTTATTAATAGATTATAGATAATATCACGGCATAAGCAAAAAGCTTTAAGTCAGAATAAAAATGTCTCGTAACGATCCAACTCATGTTCATGGCTATGGTTAATTCTACAGTTCGGTCTAAAAAGTTGCCTGAGGTTACTCCGTTGCTCCTAACCCTAACCAATGAAATGTGGGTATCATCACCAGCATTATCTACATTCAATCCTCTACACAAAGAAATTGTGAGTTCTATTTTCTAATGCTTATTAATAAAATTGAAGAGTGAACGTCAGAAACTTGAAAATTGCGATAGAATAAACATGTCTGCATAATTGAAACATTAGTGTGGATATTCACCATTTAGACCAGTACGTACATCAGGCTGGTCTATGCACATCACCTAACATTGATGGATCTCTTCGCCAGCGTCAAAAGAGTCCTACCTCGATGATGCAGGCGACTTTTACATTACAACATCTTTTAGAAGGTGGACGCGTCTAACAGAGGCTGACATGCTCCATTATGGGACCACATTTTAATTAAAATAGTGAAGCATTTCCTGAAAAAATACAATCAGATGTTGTTAGATAGTGGTACTTGATCCGGAGTTAGCCCTGGCGCTAGGTTGCCTCGTCGCTGATAGACTGACTGGCTGCAGCAACTGTTGCCGAACCCTGTGGAACCCGACAACGAAACATTTACTATGGCCAGCAAAAGTTACAAAATGAACGAATAAATGTTAAAATTGTATTGCAACATTTTCTGAGGCAGTGCCCAACACTTCACGTATAACTGATTCAAAGTGCCCTGTTGATTGAATGAATGTTTTACTTCTGCAGGGAAGTGTTTAAATTTCATGACCAGGTGAAATGTCAACACCAAAATTATTTCACTTTCAACAGAAAAGTATTGAACAGACATTGTAATACTAGGCTAAATATCAGTAAAAAACTTATCTGATAAATTTAGTTCATCCTCACCATAACGGTTGAAAGGCATTTAAAAATGCACCCTTACATCTGTGACTTTTGTGACTTTTGTTTATAATGACTTTAAATATATTCATTAAAAATATTAATTAACAATAATACTCAGAAATATAATTGCTAATAATATTTGCTTATAATTAAATTCATATATAATATCGATCTTGTCATATATGAATATAGACCGATTCATGAAACACCAAGCGTCTCATTTATGGATACACCGTATGTGTTGCTGCATGCTAGTGTGAAAGTTTGAAAGAGTGTATTTATTCCATGTTCACTCATTCGTTCATTCATTCATTTTATTTCGTTTGCTTCAATAGTTTTCGCTAAAATTTATTCACCGTATGGGTTGTATATGTACATACATGGGCATGTATATTGTATAGTATATTATATATATATATATACATATATATACATATATATATATACATATATAAATATATATATATATATATATGTATATATACATATATATATATATATATATATATATATATATATATATATATATATATATATATATACATACTTGTACATGGCTATTATTTACAATCTCGCATACGTTTTCACTTTTCTTAACTTTAATTAATGCAATCTATTTTTATATTGGCAAAATTACAATTTTTCACGGAAATTTAGGAATACATTTATATAAAAAAATTATTTAATTATTTCATTGTTTCAATTAATCATATTAATTCAATTAATAAATATTTAAATTAATCATTGCAGCAAAAATATTTCTAAATTAATTTAAAGATTTTTTTTAGCGGAACTTGTCAAACATGGCCGCTCAGCCGATCTAAAGCACCCACCCGTCTTTCGAATTGATTTTTTTTGTCATTTCTATTTTTTATTTATTTATTTATTTGTTTATTTACTATTTTATCTATTTAGAATGTTATTTTATTTCAAATAAATCACAATTAAATAAATAATTATCTAAATACTCCATTGTGTCAAATGTTGATCGTTCCATGCTATGAGTTATCTGACACGCAATCTTATATCTTACTTCTTAGTCATTCACTTATTATTGAAATATGAACGTTCTTTCGTGTCGACATTTTTATGATCTAATATTACAGTTTATTTGAAATGTTATTTCATTATTTCGCTATTTACTGGATACCTTAAATGTAAATTCTCTATTGTTAAAGAGATTAAGCCGGGACACAAACTTCATTCTCATGGAGGCTCAATACGTAGTTATCTCCTTCTAATGTGAGTTAAGTGGTCTTGGTTGAGCAAATTGAACAATAGCGAACAACTTTAATAACAGCAAAATCAAATGTGTCACTCTACTTTTATTTCTTTACGTGTCTGCTTTTATATGTGTAACCCGGTTGTTAGTTTAAATAGGTCAAATTTTTTAAACTCTGGCGTATCTATTTATACAGTGGCGTCAAATTAGGTTAAAAGTTACAGAGATATTGATTGATAAGTTACTTATTTAATAATAAAATCAAAAGACAATGCGCTGACTTACTGAAGATAAGTTGCTTGGTCTGCTGTTGCAGTGACCGGGTTTGAACGCAAAGTGATCTACGCCCATCACATGTGTCATGTATGTGGTGTGTGGTTTCACGCGGATTCACTGACGCTCTGTAAGTTTTGTTGTAACTAATGCTTTTGAAAATTAATTGCGAGAGAATGATTAATGATAACTTTTGTAAAAATTAGGCTATTTTCGCGATTTCATGCCTGTAAATCTGAAGAAAGCAATATGTTACATTGAAATGCGAACATTTAGAGGAACAGAATCGCATTTTCATTGAACGTGGCAGTGATTTCGTTATTTTAAATAATATCAAATAAAAATATTTCAAACAAAAATACAAATTTTTCATTTAAAATTATTAAGATGGGAAGATCACAAAATCGCTCACATACAGTTAAATACATAGATCCACCATTGCTACAATACTATAACGCTGTAAATACTAAAATAGCGTGCACAAACATCAACATCTAAACACAACAAGCATGAATGTATACGTGTCTATAGACAGATTTATATATACATCACACAGACACACACGCACACATTAATGTATGTGAACAAACATCGGTGCTCGAGTATACTCGTTTACTTGACTATTTAATGACAACGAAAATTACATTTTTTTCTTTGTGCACGCACACCACACACACACACACACACACAAGTGCATATGTATATATATGCATAAATGCATATATATACATAAAATATATATATGTATATATAAGGATAGTACTTTTTGATATCCAGTCGAAGACGGATATAGAGGTATAACTTGCACATTTTGCTAGGCAACATGTGTACACCAAAATGTGAACTGTTAAATTTTTTATTGCGTTACCTCTGAAATAATAAAGCTGAAATATTTACAGACGCATTCATTTTTACGATTTTATTGACAGAACTAAAAATGTTTTTTTTTGAAAAACTTATTATATTAAAGTTTAAATTAAATTTAAAAAACATTTGAAACGGAAATTACCTGTACTACAAAATAACAAAGCAAGCAAAAGAAAGCAAATAAAATATGAAATGAAATGATGAGATGATCTTTCATTCGACAACAATGCCAAATAAATAGCAAAAAAATTTCTTACTCACGCCTTTGTTCATGATAATTCGGTAACTTTTTCAAATAGAATTTAAAACATTGTTAATTTTTCAAATGAATCAGATTACAAATACTACTAACAAAACGGATTACTTGACCATACCAGGATATTTTTTAAGACAGCTGTTGTAGCTGCAGAAAGTTGATGGTTTGCTGAGTTTTGACCTGGACTGTCTGGCTTACAAGGTCAATGTATATTTAAAATATAAGATTTTGCAATATTACATGCTTGGCAATTTATTTCCTGCAATATAAAATATTTTATCTCTAGCATTAATGGGTTCATTAATTACTAGGTTTACTATTTTCTAGGTTTACTAAATTTTTGATGTAAAATAGTAGGATGAAAAAAAATTGTAATCTTTTTTCTAGGTATATCAATTGTTAAATACAAACTTTTAAATGTTTTTGAAATGGCATTAAAAATGTTATAATAAATTCCAGTCTTTTTAATTGTAAAAAAAATTTTCAAACTCAAAAGAGTGGATTCGTGACGTACAATTTCAACTTGTGGTCGGGACTGGACAGAATCCACAATCCGACCAAATCATCCAATTAGAGATTGATTTTGAAGTTCTTTCCAATGGAAACTAGTTGTCGGATGAGTATGACAGTTTAAAAAAAAGTGTTTTCCTCATAAAAATCAATAAAATATACAATTGAAACTTGAAAAATTTCTTTGTGTACGTTCGGTTTGATCTCGAATCATCAGACTATACACTCCAGGTAACTGGTTACAATGGTGACAATTTGGATATCTCGAACGTGCGAATCTCCAACGGCACACACATTCTCAACGGGATGATGTTCTCAACCAAGAAGAATCGGGATAATACGCCAAATAGACGCGGATGTGTTGTATATTGGTTGGCCTGAAACTGGTACAACCTTGTACATGTAGTGGTACATGCTTCGTCCAAAACATTTACGGATATTTGAGTTAGCCAGTTAGCTAGCCAAATTATGTCACTAGTTCTCAATAAATACGACTTACAACACTTCCATTTCGTTGAGTGTATTTTTAAAAAGTTAATAAACGCGAAGTGGACAAGAATATTCAATGAAATCTGGATATTCGAGTCTGTATTATACTGCTGAAAGTAGTGCTCCCTTTACATACTTTAAGATGATGATAATGCTGGCTTGAATGAAAAAAAATGTTTTCAATGATATTAACTTTTATCTATTTTTTTTTTTTTTTGATAAAATATGTTTAATGATTTTTTTTATTTTTCATCAAATGCATAAAAATAATTATTTAATAGCAAATAATTTTTTAATTAAAATTTCAATCATAATAGCTAGTTATTTTGTTTGGGCCAAGAATTCGTACGAATGGCGTTAATAAACAACTGTCAATAAATAACAATTTCATTAATCGTGTTGAAGTTACAAAATTTTTGGGTGTTATCATTTCATGTAATTTATCTTGGTCGGAACACGTACAGTATATATCTAAAAAAATTACTAAAAATTAAAATTAAATAAAAATTTAGGTTTGATCTACCGCCTTCGTTTTCAATTGCCTAATTATATCTTCTACACTTTATATAACTCATTATGCCATATTTAACCTACTGTGTTTCAGTCTGGGGTTATACTACTAAATATAATTTACATATATTGAATGTATGTCAAAATTATTTTATTCGAATATTTCTTAATTTAAATGAATTTCAAAATGTCAATCACTGTTATAATTTATGTAACATTCTTAAATTTCAAGATTTATTTATTCTTAGATCTTTATTATGTTTCTATAGATTGTTGAAATTACGTTTATGTCCATATTTATCTGACCAAATAAATCGATTTTTGTATAGTTGTTCTGTGCACCTCAAGAAAATTACTGAATTCTATCTATCCACTCCACGTACAAACTTTTTTAATAATTCTGTTTTTCCTGTATCCATCCGATTATGGAACTCGCTACCGACTGATGTTAAAAACATAGCTACGTTAGGCTTATATTGATATAAACGAAGAATTGTAGATCTGATTAAATCTCGTTTTTTCTCATTTTTACTGCAGTATAAATGGGCTTATATTCATGTATATAAATGTATGGGTATGCATATATAATTATTTGTTTTATTATTTCTGCCCTGTTATTTTTTCTTTCCTTTTCTCTCTCTCAAACATTATTCGTTTCATAATGTATTGGCAACTATTGACATTCATAGCTATTTCTGTTTTTAATATTATATTTTTGTTACTAATGTTAAGGGTGGCCTAACAGACTTCGGTCTCGGGTCTCCTAGTAATGAACTTGTTTTTTTGCTGAATAAAAGTTTCTTTCAATTCAATTCATCGTTGCTTTTCATTTAAAAGAAAAATAAGTACATTCTTTGATAGAATAGCTATGAGAAATTAATTCATGCATTGTTCTGACTGCAATATATGGCATTATGACGACGATATGACACTATTAAATAGGCTATGGCGAAAATAATCGACCCAATTAATTTTGATTATAGATAAATTAAAGAAATTGTAAAAGCTTATAGGAGATAATTCAAAAGTATTTATTGAAATGTTATAATGTTTAAAATCGTTCACTAGGTTATTTTTTTAAACTGGCTGTATATTTGTCGACTTTGTATTGCTTGGACTTGACAAATTTTGTTTTATGGCAAATAGTTAATTCTAAAATTTCAGTTGTATTATTGCTTAGGATGGCGATGTCTGGTCTAAGCGGTCTGAACAGATCTGATAGTGGACGTGTCGTTTCATTTTCCACATCGGCAAAAATGGCGGTCTTCGAGCTAGCGAACGCATTAATGTTGTTGACAATTATTGAGAGAATTTTGTTGTGGCGATTTGAGTATTGTTTGAGTGCTGCTATGGAGTTACAATTTGTCAGAACCTTTTTGTTAGATTGTTTCACGTTACAAAGATGGCATAGCGCATCGGTTGTTTTGCTCTATCTGTGGAAGTTGGCATTTGTAGGCAGCTGTTGTTTAATTTATTTTTTTGAAAATTTATAAAGAAATTCGGTTAGTTTTACTGTCAGTCTAAACCATTGTTTAATCTCTGGGTCATGGATGTGTTTTTTTTTACTGATTTAACGATCTCTTTGGCATTGTAAGAACGACAGATGATTCAACTCACTCTCATGCCGTCGTCTTTTGAGAACTTCAAGCGCCTGCTTAACATCAACATTTTCTGGAATGAAGTTGTCACCATTTCAGCATGACACTTTAGCGATTTCATATTGAGGCCTCCAGATTTGTAGGGCAGCGGGAGGATTTTTGCGACGCATCTGCTCATCGGTATAGACAGCCAATCTCTTACGGTTTCTGTTATCAGACGGTCTTGTGTCTTTTTTTATCTATGTTAGTGAAATATCGTACATATGAAATTCAAATATTTATTGGGATGGAACGAAGCGTCTTAAAATCTCAAGTTTCCATTGAAGGAATGTATCCAGTTCATCAATCTTATGCAGTTTATGTTCAAGTTTACCATGCAGTAGCTCCATTTCTTTTGCGTTCCTACATTCAAAGTCATAGATTTTTACCAAATATATGAAATGATTATTATTGATGTTAATCTGAGGTATTGTTTTTTTTTATCAATTGTTAATTTGATAAAATTAAAATTCTTCGATTCCAACATTTATCTATTCGCATCAACTCATGCTATCTACTTAATTTTTAAAAAATGTAAAAATTAGGTCCAGCTTGTTGAATTTAGTTAAAAAAACTCTTATCATTACATTTAAGTTATTACTAATTTTTCTGTCTTCGTTACTTTTAGTTTCAAAATAAATCTTCTGACTTGCCTGGAGTTTTATCTCAAGTTTTTTCACGTAATAATTCTGAAAAGAAATTTTCAATGAAAGTATTTTTGCTTATTTCATGATTAAGGAGCACTTGCCATTGAAAAACAGACCAGAACTTGGAAAATCCTTAAAAGACATCGTAGACTTGTCTAACAACAAGAAAGTTCTCAGCATGAAATTGGTCATGAAGCGTGTGAAGGGGCGCGTGCAACAATTCGGGACGGTGTTGAGCACCAACCGTTTTTGTGGGCTGAATTTTTTCTAAATCGGTCTGTATTGGAATTTTAGAATAAAAAGTTTTACATTAATGCCTTTTCACTCGAATGACTTTTAAAACTCGTCACAATTATTAAACAAAAATGATTTCATATTCAGTTTAACAAACATTATTTAATTATTGGAATATTTCAATTTTGTTGCATAGCACTCCACGTTGGGTGTCGCTCCATCCAGGCACACAGGCTTCTTTTTTGCTTCAACATATTTACGTGGTTTTTTTTATAACATTTTCAAGAATGTTAACATTATATGAATTTGTTTTATTAGTTTCAAGATTATACAACTTATCAACGTAAAATACATTGGGAAGATTTGTGGCTGTCTGGCCAAGGACCATTTTTTTTGCTTATTACATTTAATTTTTAGTTCTTTTTTCTGACTTTTATTGAAAAACTGCTCACACAGCGGTCCCGGCCATTTCTAAATCGGCCACTGGCTGCTTGTGATTACGTCGGTTTAATGTTTTAACAGTTGTAAAAATGAGTGACATCATTTTTTAAGAATAAAATTATAAATTTATCTTTACTGTCTCTTGTTATTAATATCAATAATAACGATGGTTTTTTTTATTGTTCTGTATTATTTTTATTATTATAATATTATTTGGTTTGATGTTGCTGTGATTTTTTTATGTTTAATTAAATAAAATAAAAAAAATAAAATGTTTCTTTTCAGGACCTCAGAGCATGGAACTCTGAATTTTGAATCGGCTGCAGTTTTGTTTTGTCTCACTTGTTCTAAAATTATCGGCTAGTACTCAATTTTTATTTGTAAAAATATTTTTTCATTTATTAACTGTGTTGTTATTTTGTTTAGTTTATTCCCCAAATTAAATGTTTGATGAAAATTTTCATCTTTTACAAACGAATGACTCGTATAAAATGATAAAAAAAATTTAATAAATTTGAAACGAATTAAAAAATGTCTTCAACAATAATTTACGAGAAGGTTTTTATACACGGAAGTTTGATTTTTTATTCACTAGTTGTATTTCATTTGTGAAATTATTCTGTTGATAATGTAACAAAACAGAATATTGAACAAATGAACAAAATACTTCCCGGGTTGGAAATTTCATAAAATATTACAAATTGTTGAAAGTTATGAATGACGTAAATCAAAAATAAAGTAAGATAAAAATAATAATAATTTACTTTTTTAAATTTTTTTGTGTTGAAAACAGAAAGACTTTGAACTTTAGACTTGGTATTAGAAAATGTCTGCAGACATGTTTTAGCGAGATGAGCGCACTGAATTTCAAATATAACCAAATCTGTACAAAAGTATGTGATTGCCTTGTAATTTATGTGAAAAACAAACTTAGACGATTTTTTTCGTGAACTGCAAAGAATATATATTTTTTTAAATTGTTTTTTGAACAATTGAAAAAATTAATATGACAAATTTGGTGACTATCGCAATTTATGTAGGATCCTTCATTATAACATGGCTGTGTTATCAAATCTTCTTGAGATGCTACAAAACTTTAAAAGATGATTCGAAAATTAAAACGCCTCCATGTCTTCCCCATATTCCTCTGCTAGGATCTCTGCTTTTCATTTCTGATCCCAAAAGATTTCACATCCATTTTTTGAATAAATCCAAAAAGATCGGAAACATAATTGGTTTTTATATGGGACAACAGTAAATAAATACTTGTTTTTGCCAATTGTATATTATATTATTATTTTTAAAGCATACCATGCTAATTTCATCATAATTGATATTGTTATTACAAGGTACATGGTTATTTTGAATGGTCGGCAAACAATCGAGAAAGCATTTGTTGGTAAGGCGTTGGCATTTTCTAGTCGCCCTTCATTCTACTTCACCTCTCTTTACAATCCCGGCCAAAAAGGTAAGTTTAAAATAAACAAATTTTTTAAATTGAAAAAGATCCTATTTTTTGTTTGGTCAGGGTTTTCTGAACATCCGTACAACGAAACGTTCAAAAAGTACCACAAAGTTTGCCTAAATGTTTTCAAAAAGTTTGGATTAGGACAGGAAATGATGGAATCAAGAGTGAAAGCAGAGGTAGAACATCTCGTTCAAAGAATAAAACTCAGAAAGAGTCAACCGTTCTATCCATCTGTAGACGTTTCAGCTACTTTTTTCAACGTGATTAGCAGCATTCTGTTTGGCAAACGATGGTCCATCGATGATCCGGAGTTTCTCCACATCATTGATATATCAAATATAATCACGCGAACACTTACTCTAAACATTTTTCCAGTTTTGAGATTTGTTCCATATTTCAAAGGTCAACTGAAAGAGTTTGTCGAAGGCATGAAAATGTGGGACCAATTTTTAGAGAGAAAAATTCATTCAATTATAAACGGCACAAACGGCGAAACGTTCAGTAGTAAATTTGAAGAGGAGTTGAAACTTATTTGTGATGACTCGACTATGAGCACATTAGTTGACGAAGAGCAACACAGATTAATGATACTTGACTTGGCAACGGCGGGCACAGAAACTTTGGCAAACACGGTTCTCTGGTTTTTGTATTTCATGGCCAATCACCAAGACGTGCAAAAGCAAATGAGAGATGAACTGGACAGAGTGGTTGGTTTCAAAAGATACCCATCACTTGAAGATAAACCAAAGTTACTCATAACGGAAGCTTGTACTTTGGAGGTGATGAGAATTAAAACACTTGTACCAACGGGCGTTCCTCGAATGACTTTGAGTGATGTTGTCGTTGATGGGGTGCTCATTCCCAAAAATGTCACAGTCCTGGCAAATTTGTACAGCGCTCACATGGATCCTGATGTTTGGGATGAACCAGAAAAGTTTAAGATTGAGAGATTTCTGAATGAGGACCGAACCGAAATTGTTAACAAAGGTCATGTTATTCCTTTTTCTATCGGTGAGTTGATTCATTCCTCAATGCTATTTGATAAAATGGAAAAATAGAAATTTTTTATGAAATATTTCAGGCAAACGATCCTGTCTTGGAGAACCACTGGCCCGCCATGAATTGTTTTTTGTGGTTTCCGCACTTATTCAGCAGTTTCAAATCCTGCCACCAGAAGGCCAGGACACGGTTGTTGCCAATGAAATTTACGGAGTATCCATATCTCCCAGTGCTTTCAACATCAGATTTGTTGAGAGGACTCACGATGAATGAAAAGATTGCTAAATTTTTCTCAAATAATTTACAGACGACAATCAACCAACTAGGATGAATATTGCTTGAAACATAACATTTTCATAATTTTCGAAGCGATTTGAATTTTAAATTATTACTATTATTAGTGACTAGAATGTTACATATTAGAGTAACTTGGTGTGTTGAACGCTAAATTAAATATTTTTATAAAATATATGATTGCCGGAAAATAAAAAACACTATATTTTATAGCTACATTTGGCATTCCATTAACTTACAGTTACACTTCATTAACTTATTAAAACAAATTGAAATGATTAAAATGACATTTTATTCACAGATGATCCTGCTTGCCATGCCGCTTATTTTACTTGCAAAAGTTGTTTTTATAATGATTCGTTCAATAGTACTTTAATAGTGCCTGAGATGAATCGTAACAATGAATGATTTGAACGTTTTATATCAGAGTAACTTCAAATGTTGGACTCTAAATCTGCTATTTATTTGTTCTACAAATATGATTACCCGCTAGGAAAACTACGTAAACCAAAAGTATATAGCTAACTGGCCGAGTGCAGTTCGTAACTTGTTTGAATTAAGAATTTTGTGTTATCGGCTGAATTTCGACAGATATGATAAAGTTGTTGAAAGTATATGTCCACAAATGTTTATATGATAAAACGTTTATGCATTACTATGGTAGCATAATCTGATTACATAAAAAATTTAATTTATCGATTTATTAATTTAACAAATTAAGTTATTTTTTTGAGGTTTTATTTGAATTAACAGGCATAATCAAACGAAAGCTTCAAGTTGAAGCCAAATCATAGCCTAGGTAAAATAATTTTAAATATTACCTCGATATGACACATTATACAAAAAACTTTATTTTACGATTGAATACAAGACAGAAATGAAATATGAAATCAAATTAAGATGGATATGACAGAAAAATATTCATACTGAAAATCTTGAGGTAAGCTTATTTGAGTGTCATCAGCAAACTTAATGTTCAAGAAATTGGACAATGTATCAGGCATCTACTTAGATAATAGATTCCATTTTAAACAAATCTGAACTAAAAAATTTAAATAATAATTAGTTTAATAATTACAGTTTTAAACTGAAAAAAAGAAAATATGTAAGAAAATTTCAAAAATGTTAAAACACGTATTTACTAAAAAGAACTAAAGAAAATTAGCCTTAATTTTTTGTCTTTTACACATCATAAAAGTTGTTTTTGATGGCTACGATATCCATCTTTAGATATCTGAAGGTGGGTTTCAAGTCTTTCAACATTTCGGCAAAACAAACATGTGACAGTGTTTGAGGTTGGGGAAGACAACATTTGAGCAACTAATCCGGCAAACCACAACAATAGAAAAACGCCAGCCAATACACCACTGTCTAAACTCTGACCAACAATATTTTGTTAAATTTATGTATCTTTTTAAATGAACATTGGACCCAATCATTCAACACATATTACATGCTGCATTTTCAGTCCAATTAATAAAATCCATATACTTATAACAGGGAGGGCATGTCACGATGGATGCCAATCGCAAACTTCCGCAGCGTACTACTGATTTTTAGGCCGTAGAAAACAATTATTGCCGTCGAAAAATACTAGATGGCACACTAGTTTTTATTGATTAAAAAATATAATTTTAAAAAACGGTTCAGTGGATCTTGAGTTTTACGCGTTTGAAAATATGATCTGGTCACTACACCAACGAAGCCAGGCACTTACGTTACGCCGTCGGTGCTTCATTGTTGACAATCGTTTGATATTTTTATTTACATTTCCTATTATATAGCATGTCAACTCTACAAAACGGACATCTTGTTTTTCCAGAAAACCCATTTCCGATGCAGTTAAAAAGGAAGCTGAAAGTGAAAGCTGCAATTGCCAAACAAAAGAACGTTTACTTCTTCTATGCAGATGCAGCAATTTTATGAATAAACTTTTACTCGGTTTAGGGCAACTTGAATCGTTTGTTCTTCCGAAGAATCTGCAAATATGATTCCACAATACGCACGTTTTCTACGAAATGCTCTTCTATGGACTGTTTGTTTACTATATATTTTTCTTTGGAAAGTGTACTATAAAAGATCTCAGAGGTTTTTTCATGATATTGTATTGAAAATCTTGTTAAAGTGAAAAAAACACATTTCTCTATTCCTCTTTTTCCTCCGAAAGATGATAACAGTAAATCAAATTGAATCTCCTGTTCTCGCAGTGTTTATCGATCATGGAACTATCAGGTAGTTTAACATTTCCAATGTAAAATGTAAAAAAAAACTGATTTTTTATGATAGATTTAGATGCCGCAAAGAGGGGGCTAGCAGTCGTTGATCCCACAGTCTTTGAGGGTTTGTGTCAAACGACCGTCAGAATCATTATCATCAGATTGTAATTCAGAATCGGGTTTATTAGTTGTCGACATTACAATATTCCACCACAGAGTAGCGATTGTCTCATTCTTAATTCGATTCATACGTGTATCGTAGACATCACTCGAAGCTAGATTCGTACGTCTATTTGTATATTTGTATCACGCCCGTTACATGAAACAAGATATGTACGCGTAGACGCACCTGATAATTTCTTCACCAGCCATTTTATTATGTCCAATATTTCATTCAAAACGACTGTTTGCCATTTTTTACTTTTCTAACGTATAATTTGACATCGAAATGGATATTCTTTTTATATTTAAAATTACAAATGTTGGCAAATGTTGTCCTATAATTAATCAAATCAACAATATCAAATATTTGATCAAACTTGGTGTTGCCAAGTTGTTTGTTTGGAACTTTTCTTCTCTTCCTTTTTTCAAAAGCCGATTGTATTATTTATTTGGCAGCAAATAATTCTTTAAAATTATAAAAACCTAAAGCAACAAAACAAATTCTCGTCTAAATTATCAATATTGACAAATAAATACCATAGTATTTCTGAAACGAATAATTTTTTAGCAGCCATATTGAATTCTCACACTCATGAATAGACTCAAATAGATTCATATTCGAACTTGAATTTGAATTTGTTTGAAATCTTCCAAAAACCGAAGGCAAACACGCGAATCTTTGCTGAGCACACGTGGCTACTCATTTTCGTTTGATAGATCGAGGAGTTGTCACTTATCAGAGATTAAAAAAGTAATTAGTAAAAATAATTATTTGTTATTTGTTTTGTTATAAATCTGTCTGCCAGCACTGACTAGCGTAATAATTGTAACATTCTAATTGAGTTAACTATTTTGAATACATGAAACTAATAATGCAACAATACTTAAAGGAGTTACAAGAAACTGCAAGAAACCTGTTTACACGAGATGGACATATCTAAAAAAAATTACACCACTTACAAAAAATATATAAACGACTCACAAAATAATTTGAACAAAAAATTTTTTTGCTTCTTTTTTGAGGAAGTTATGATTCTATTCTTACAAACATTTCAGTGTTGTTCCGTTTTTTTGGCTTTGTGTGCATGATAAGGAGCTTGGTATTTAATTGCGAGAAATCACCATCTTGTAATGTTCGATATGGTGTTATTGAATTTTTGATGCAAATAAGCATTAAAAATGATCTTTCCATTGATATGACGAACTGCATTGGAACAGCGTTAACTACCAAATGTAAACAAAACAAAAATGAACGTTCCAATTTTAATGATAGTTTTAATTTTGAAACTTTTTGCAAGTAAAAATAATATTTGTTTGAAAACATTTGTGAAATTGTTTAGCAATTTTTAAAAACTTTACAAAACTACAGAGAAATCTATTCAAGAAGAATTTGACTTGCTGTACTACAATGGGGCAAATAAAGCATTAAACACCGACAACATACCGACACAGGTGGTGATAATTTATCCAATTAAATTCAAATACACATCTTGCTTTGTAATTTTAAATTTTAAAAAATGACCATGTTATAATCATAATGCAACAAGACATATAAGCAAACGGACCACTAAGCGTTCAATATTTTGTCTCGTAAAAATTATGCAAGTAAGTTTTGTGCTTCAAACAAGCTTATATAAACTAATATTAGCGAATTAACATGACATATTGAAGTCGACGCGTCAGAGCATATTCAATTTTAATAAAGGGCACATGTTTTAAATAGATGAAGATTTGACAGTGTTTTTTCGTCCAAATATTAACTAAAGTCTGAAAAAAAAATTAAAAAAATTGTATCAAAGATTAAAATATGTAAATTGAAATGAAAAAAGTTTGTTCATATAACGCAATCGGGAGATGAAACGTAGTAATTTGAATTTTAAGAAAATAATAAACTAAATCAGATTTTGAATTTAAAAATTTGCCAGGAACATGCCGAGCTGAAGATTAAGTTCGTGAAAAAAAACACCGCAGTTTGAAATATTTTTGCGTCTAAATAAGTAGAACTTTATCATTAACTGAATGAAATCATTTTAACGTACATTTTTCCAATTGATTTTTTAAGGTACATCGTATCAAATAATTTTGAAGTGCATCTAATTGACCGAAATAATGAAAGCCAGAAAGTGCCAACAAAAGTAATAGTTAGAATTTTTATAGATAGCATCATATTTGTTAAAATTAATCGCTTGTTACAACATCATAACAAAATAAATAAATAAAATATATACTGTTACTTTTTTTCCAAAATCTGGTATTAGACTTGCCCCTCATAATTGCTAGCAATACAAAATGACATTCCTCTTCATAGCGAGACAGGTCTTACTCGTCTCCTTGCTCCTGAATTTTTTCTGCTTTTTTGTACTCTTGGTCGTGATATTTTATAGAAATTGCTAAATCATTCTTCCAAAGTTATGTCATTGATCCTTGTCTGTCTAGCTTGGTTTTGATTTACTAGTTAATTACATATTGATGACTCTTACACATATAAGTTTTTCATCCATCAAATCAAATTCTAATTTTAGGTACCCTTAGCTTCATTTATATATTGTGAAACTTTTATTATCTAATTAGTCTAAAAATGCTCTAAGTATTTTTCTTTTAGATTAATATGCTGCCTGATTTTCGAACCTTCAATTTTTTTCATAATTTTCTTTGTCTCGGTTACATTTTTGGTTCATTGCATCAAACTTTTACAAATTTACAATTTTCTTGTTCACCTTTAAAAAATAAATGATCCCACTTTTAACTCATCTCTCGTTACTCCGTTAGTACCACCTAGAATCAAATACTTTTACTCGCTACACTGTTGCCTTCATGGATCTAACTTAATTTCTTTTATTATACATAACTTTAAACTCCGCTGTTTGTTTAATTAATTTTGTTTCATTTTTTTCTCACACAAGCTACCTATCAAATTTGGCAAAATAATTAGAATTTGCACATTAAAATAAACAAACCTTAATATAACTTTTATCTAAAGTATTTTTTAGACGTTTTTTAACCAAACGATGGTGTGGTCATAGTCACCTTCAGTAACAATCTGTTCCATTCATTCAAATGTTAACTAATGAAAACATAAGGAATAGAAATTTTCACTTCTCGAAAGAGATTAGGTTGTCATTATCAAGGGAACGTTGACGGCGTTCCTTCTCAAATGGCTGCTATTTCATTGTGCTCAGGTGTCAGGTAGTACAAATAATTCATATCAATCTGAGTTTGTTGCAAATGCAGTTAATTTTGTTGTTTAAACAAATTTTCCAGTGGTTTCTATCAAAGAAAAACTAAGGCTTTTGAATTAAAATCAAAGTTTGTTGGATCGTTGGACAGAGTCGTGGTGGAAAAATCTGGAAGGGAGAAACGTTCTTTTGGTAAATTTATTTGAAAAAACATTAATGATTCGGCAGTTGGTGCTGAGTTGTACATATTTGGGTATAAATCTCCTTATAACAATTTCTATTTTGATGTCTATATTTTTTCATTTATCAATCACTTCATGGTTATAAGCTAACAAATATGATACCTGGATTAAGTTTTTTTAGAGTCTGATGTTAAAAACATTTTAAACAATTTCAGTATGTTTCAAACTTATTTAAATTTTAAAACTTATTAAGAATTCAATTATTATGGAATAAAAAACTTTTATAAACTGTTCACATCAAAGTTTTCTGATTTTTACATTCAATTTGTATATCCAGGAGATCGTGACAGAAAAGCAATGAAAAATGTCAAAAAGGTGATATATATCTTTCGCTAGAATGATAACATAATGTAAATAACATTATAAACTTTATATGTAAGCTGGTTCGACAAAATGTGATCAAATTACTCGACAGAGAAGTCAGAATTGTAAAAATATACATTGTCGTTGATACCACTGTGGTAAATATATTCTGTGATTTGTTTTGTAGCAATTTAATTTCATCCTTAAATCAAATTTTGTTAATTTTAAAATTTATTTTCATTTTTAATTTTTTTGAATATAATCTAGCGTTAATTGTGTAAAAAAATATTTGCTCATGGTGCAAAATTTTACATCTAATTTTTTTCCACTAAACCTTGCAACATACTCAAAAGGGAACTCAATGCTCGAATTATCGTCATATCTTAAAAGGCAACAATTAAATTGATCATAAGATTGTAAGTGAATACTGATGCCAACAAACATCATTTGAAAAGTGTTCTGAATTATATCCATTTAATCAAAAATATTTTAAATTAAAAAAAGTACAGGTTTTACCACAGAGATCAGAATAAAACGGCAGACTTTATAATGGATATGTTCAATTTTGCGAGTTTGGTTTGTATTCCATTTACACATTCATTATGTCTGTTTCAATAAAAATGAAATGTGCTATTTCAATTCATTTTGAATGTGCTAAATTTAATATATATGATTAACATTCTAGATATTTTAATACTAATAGTATTCAGAATTTCGTTAAATTTATAGCAATTTTGGTTATTTCAAAAAGATTTCTGATTGCGATATTAATTTTTCATATTGACTGTTCCTAAAAACAAAATCTAATTTCCTGTAAAAATAATTTAAAAGAAATCAAACTTTATTTGAACAGTACTATCATATGCACAATATTTTCTTGACTGCCGTGCGTTTGGATATTTGGAAGTCACCTAGAATAGAAATAAGACCAACCTTGAGTTCCGATGACCTGTTAGCAGAATTTGATAAATACAACCGAAAGTTTGTACTATATGGATCGTATTTCCAAGATGTCTCGTTGCTGATTTCGTGAGTGTTATTATGCATAATCAGGCCCGGTTTTATGCGGGTTTTGAGTTTGGTAGGCAAGTTGAAAAGCTGCCGTCTGATGTGATATTTATCTGAAAGAAGAAGGTTTTAATCTATAATGCATACTTTATTGGGAATGTTATTTTTAAATGAAGCAATTGACAAATAATTTGTTTATATTCAAAAACGAGCTAACAAATTATTGATTTCTATAAATTTTGTCTTGCTTGAATTAATAGCTATTTTCGATTAAATAAATCTAGTTTCGTACTACAGGCAATATGCGGACTATATAATGTGCTATAAAAATATTGAATACTTTGAAAAATAATTTCTTAAATACGTTCGGTTAGCTTTTTTTGTCAACTCTTGAAAGGCAAAGCACTTTTTCTCTTCAGATTGGAGTGGCAATGTATAATTCTAAAAAAATGCCGCTCCTTATACAAAGCCGCTAAGACTCGATTGACTACAATGCTTGAAACCGGGCCAGTCCATAATGATTCCTTCACAACTTTTCCATTAACTAATAAGTGATTTAAATAAATGTTATGAAGAAGGCAATTAAGGCCTGATGAAGATGCAGGAAATTCCTACATAAGATCAATGTGTCTCATCAATGCTGTGTTTTGGACTTCGGTGAATTTAATTATTTAGTTATTGAGTTATGTTTAAAAAAAAGTGATTGAAGCCAAATCATGTTGCCATGAAATGTTCAAAAATATTAATTAAACATATAAATAATAAATAAATATGATAAAATAAACTTTATAAAAAGCACTTTTCAGCAGTACTCAAATTTGTATACTGATCTAGATTTTTGGCGTCTACATCATGTCAATAAGTTGTCTTTTAGCTAATTTCAGAATAAAAAAAATTCATTTTTTTTCATCAGAATTGTGATCCAAAATCTAGGAACAGTGTTAGACAGATCATTCCACATCTTTGATCACAAGCGGCAAACTACGTGCACCCATTTTTTACTTGGGGCAACCAAATAGTTTTTATCTCTTAGTTTTTAAAACCATTGAACAGTTACTTTTTTAAAGTTAAACATGTCAGACATCAGACAAAATCTTTAGAACCAAACCATTTAAATAACTAAACACCATGAGGCAAATTTTAAATTGAATTCTTTTATCAACTGGTGGCCAATGTAATTTTCTGATAAGTGGAGTAACATGATCAAACTTATGACCTCCCTTTACAATTCTATTCGCTCTATTTTGCACTGACTCTGTCGTTGCTATTTCATTCTGCAATTCAACATAAAAACGGCTGCTACAATAATTCAGGCGGGAACCTATAAACGAGTGGATAAATGTTGATAAGGCGTTTCTGTTCTAACAATTTTGACAAGTTTTATTTGACGCAATTGAAAAAAAAACATAGTTTTATCATATATAAATATAAATATGTGTAGTTATCTATATGACAATTTTAATGATTTTCACTTTGATAAACTAAATAAATGTTAGTTTTTTTAACCATACAAAATTGAAAAAACTGGAGACTAAACATGGAGTTTATGAAAGTGGAATTTCATTGGCTCACGAGTTGGGTCATGTGTTTGGGATGCATCATGTAGAAGAGGTTTTTGGCTGCATCTGTCTTAAACAGCCGTGCATCACGAATGAAAAATATAGGTGATTTTTATACAATAATTTGCTCTTTGTACTCAGTAAAATTATTTTAGATCTATCAAATAGTATGCAACAAAATAATTTACAACGTAAAGAAAGTTTTTATTTATAAAATATGGTGCAAAAAGAAATTTTGTTCAATCCCTGAGTCTCTTTAAAACAGGATTTAAGACTCATCTTTTTAACACATGCTCCCGATCCCTTCAAAACAGCTGTGCAAATTGGCGCTGTATAAACTTTCATATTGTTATTAGAAAAAAAATTAAAATTAGTGTGTTGACCATGAATCAGGCGTCACATTTTTTTAGATAATCAAAGATTTATAAATGACAATTTTTAGAATTGTGCTGTATAACTAATTTTATTCATTATAAAATAAATGTAGGATATCTTTAAAAAATGAACTTGAACTTTTTTTGAATTTTAGGCCGTCTGGAGACGTTTATATACCTTATAGCTGGGCCACTTGCTCTGAGTTGGTGCTCAAAGAAACCTACCATCTGCACCAATGTCTTTTCAGAAGGTGGAAAGATTTTAGTTTATTGCCTGCCAAGTGTGGAAATGGATTGATTGATGAGGGGGAAGATTGTGATTGCAGTCTATTTCCTGTTACAATAACAATTTCATGTTCCATCTTTAAAGTTGTTCCATTTAAAACTATTTGCAATTTTGATAAATTTAAAACAATTTCTTTATTCATATGAAACGGTTTAATATATAAAAAGAGAACACGATAAACGTTTTTATTTGAAACACTTAGCTGTTGGCACGTTTTCACAAATTAATATTCTGCAATATTCAACTAATGTTATACGGTCCAAAATGAGCTTTTTTTAACAAAACTATAAAACAATTAATACGTTTTGTTTCTTTGTCATTAAGTTAAAAATATTTACTTCTAAAACAGGCTTGTTCTACAGAATGCTGTGATCAGAGTACTTGCAAGTTTAGACCTGGCAGTGAATGTGCTACAGGGTTGTGTTGTGATTTCAATACGTGTAAAGTGAGAAACTGATTCCATCAATTTTTTACTTTGATATTTATTTGGAGAAAAAATTGCATGTTAAAAATATGAACTTATTCTTGTTCATAACAATTTTGTGTTTAATAAAGAATTATTATTATTACTATTACTATTATTCTTGTTTTTTACTTAAAATGAGCAATAATTGTTTTGGTTAAATTTTTCTTTTGTTTAAAATTTTAAAAATTCAAAAAGATCAAATCAGTTGGAGTGGTCTGTAGGCTCAAGCAGGACGAATGCGATTTACAAGATACATGTGATGGTAGTTCGAACCTCTGCAAAGATCTTTATAATCAAGATGGCTCCATGTGCACGGTGAGTAATTCAATGAGTAATTAAGTAAAGAATCGCGTAAAAATATATTACAAAAACATTATTATGTGCATGAGTAAACATTCAAAATATAATATTTCAAGATTAAAATATATTTAAAAATTTGGAATAGTTTGCACCCCAAGACAATTTCAATGGTTACTACATTTTTATTAATTAATCATGCTCTAGGACATTGTTAAGATACCTTAAATTAAAAAAAATATTTGCCTTGATTTTTATCGAAATTTTTTTATTGGGGTGCATTTTGCACCCCTAATAAACGTTACTTAACATTTCAATATAATAACAAAAAAAATTATTATTGCTGATAAATTTTGTTAATTTTGATGTAATAATATTTTAGTACCATTTGGCTATTAGTTGCACCTTTTTTTGAATGTCAGTCATATTGTTTTATTTGCATTTCATCTAACACGACGTGACATGGCTAGTTATTCAACAGCTGAATCTCTTAGACTGATTATGCAGGAAGATACAGAAAGTGATGAAGGCAATGTTACCGATGATGATGCCAATAGTGAAGATGGAGATTATTTGCTAGGATCAGGTGCTGATTCTGATACTGAAGATCATGTGTCTGAGGAATTTGATAAATAGGAAGATGCCATTACATCTGATGAAGAGTCGGTAAATCAACCTTCTACAACAGTGACTAAAAGAGGTAAAGTTACTGCAAGTGGAGAAAGAGGAGGCAGAAGAAGATTATGTCGTGGAAGGGACATACACGGTATATCCGATTCAGCACAACCAACAGCTGTAGGTCAGTCTGTTGTTAGTTTTAATACAATTGTGGATAGAACAAGCAGACATTGGATTACCGAACACCGACGGCAAGTTCAGGACATAATTCGGCAACAACCCGGCGTCACTTTCGATAGACGTAAAAATTCAATAAAAGAAGTGTTTTCAACTAATATTTATTATTTATAATGACATCACATCTTGGAGACGTCAGCAACGCATTCACTGTTAATGTGTGAACACGCACGAATTCAAGCATCACACTAAATGCTTGTGAAGGTAGCAGTCTTTTTGCATCTGAAACTATACTCTACAATAGTAGTTTTTATTAAAATCGAATTTAGAGAACGGTTTGATTTTTATAAAACATGTAAACAGATTGGTGAGATAACTGACTACTAAAAATGTTGAAGTAAGTTGTGCTGCTCAGACCGATCTTCTTCTCGAGCAAAGATTGAATTTACGAATGCTGTTAAAATAATTAGAATACTCAACGCCGATCTACTACAAAGTGCAGTGTTATCACCAATCAGAGCCGGATTAAGGCTCTGTTGACCCTAAGGCACATTTTTATAGGTGGCCTGAAAATATATTACAATACAATATTTTATTTGACCTCCAAAATAATAAATATGCTGTATCGAAGAGTTTTTTAATTTTCCAAATTAAAAAAGGCAAATAAGTAATTTTGTGATAATAATTACAACTAAAGACAATGCAAAATATTTTCATTTCCGATTGCATCCAAGTCCCATCGTTTCATCAACCAACAAGAATTGTTTAAGGCTTTCTTGAAACATGATAACGTATGACATGTGTAATTAAATTTATCTTTCAATAATCTGTTCCAAATTCTTATACCTCTGCAGTTTATGTGTGAAGATAATATATTTTTTTGAATACATTAGATAATAGAAAGTTTAATCGTCTTGCGTTCACATTCATCCTTTAGTATTCATCAAAAGATTGTAGGAAACTTTTTGTTACCGACAAAGAAAGAAAAATTAATTTAAAAAAATGTATTACACAAATAATTATAACTAACCTAACAACCAATATTTTGACAGCTAGACTGCAACTTTGCGAGCTTTTGCAGTTGCAAATTCGTCAATTAGTTCCTTAAAGTCTGACAAGAAAATGCTTTTACTTTTTTGCCCCTCCCTAAGTATACTTTTTGTGGCCCTAGTCTACTTTTTAGCCCTAAGGCACGTGCATTGTTTATCTAATGGTTAATCCGGCACCAATTTTCTCTCTAGCTACGCCGACGGCTGTTGACCTTCTGGATCATTTCCATAAAAATATTTCCTCTTTTGCGCTTTTGCTAACACTTTAGACATTGCTCAGGAACGTGATAGAAAAAACGTATTAAAAAAAGCACTGCTTAATTTTGGACTTCACACTCAATGAGTGATAAAATTGTAAGAAAGAAATAAAATATTAGAAGCCCTCAGTGGCATAGATTGAGTTCCTGGAAGCCGTGGAATTGGTGCCAGCAAAAAAGTAGATAAACCCGCTAGTGAAGAAAAAAGCTTGCAATCGGCACAAGTAGTGCCAAACAAAAAATAAAAAATAAAATAATGATAAAAGATGCAGACCAGTGTAGGTGGCATCCATTTAAGGTTTTGAAGACAAACTCAGCAACAGTACAAAAATTGACCCAAAACAATTCAGAACTTTTTGTTTTCTTTTAAACTCAACGAGCTCAGCGAGCGACCAGCGGAAGATGTACGAATGGTAAAGAATATTTTCAGTAGCTTGGAAACTGTTGATAAACAGCAGGACCAATCACTCTACCATTAGACCATCTTACAAAGTCTTCTATTCTAAAATTTGATTAGGTCGAATATAGACATTAAATCTTTTTAACTTTCTTTTTTTATTGTTATTTATTCTCTCAAATAATGTTTAAATCTCCATAGGGTCGAAATTACTGTTTTGGCGGAAAGTGTCATTCATTAGATAAACAGTGTTCGCAATTGTGGGGCGACAGAAGAACCGTTGCAGCCGATGCAACTTGTTACGACCGGAACGTGTACAATACTAGCAAGTGCTTCAACTGTGATTACGATGCTATATCATCTGCTGTTATTCCTTGCAGTTTAACGTTAGTTTTTTTATTATTGTTTAAATTTTTTATATAAACATTTGCAGCAGCAAAATTATTTCATCAAACCATTAAAATATTCCAGGAGTCCATAAGTAATCGGATGTCAAAATAATTTTACACTTGTTCTAAATGTTTGCGTTTTAACGTTTTTTTAAAGTCATAAGTATTGCAACTTTAACCCAAAATTTCTTAACAGTAACAGATTCTGTGGGAAATTATTGTGCGCATTGAGTAATCCCAACGTGTTATACAAATATGTATACGAGAGGACTACTATGTCTTGCGTCTGCGCATTTTTTAAACTAATAAAGGGCAGTAGTCATTTATCTTATGCCAAGGATGGAATGAAATGCGGCTCCAACAAGGTTTGGTCCTGTTTATTTCTGCTGATGTCGTCTTCCGTTAAAATTTATCTGCCTGTTTATTACGTTTGATACAGATATATATCAATTTCTGGTTTGTTTGATACCTGTGATACAAATATATCAAATTATGTTCAATTCCGATTCTTAGATAAGCGTTAAAAAAGAGGTTAACTGGTGAATATAATAGAAATGAAATAATTAAAAAAATTATTTCAAACTCGTCGTAACATCACCTGCTGCAATTGTATCCAGAATTATTTTTATCTTTCTGTTATCACATTGTGGGTACTTAATTAATTAAACTGGAAAATTCTTGTTACAAATTTGACGAAATTTTCAAAAAAATCGAAAACATTAATTTTGTTCAACGCTTGCAATACATTTTGAAAAAGAGAAAAATGATGACAAAATTGGTAACTTGCTGGTCTTGTTGTCAAATATATAGGAGAAATATTTATAAAACTAATTCATAAACGTTCTGTTGAAAATCATTTGATCGAAATTTTAACTACTGATTGAAATTTTTTTCAAGGTTTGTTACGAAAGAGACTGCATTGAAAAGGATTCATATGTTAGAATACTTCAGCATTGTGCCGTCATTTCTCAAGGATCAACAGTGCACGTCCCATCGGCCAGTTTTGTCGCCCATCTGCTTCTGAAGTTGTTCGCTCTGTTCTTTCAACGAATGCTCACCTGAGGATATCTTTTTTAAGAAAATTGGTTCACTCGGTGCATATTATTTTCATTACAATTATACAACCTTTTTAGAAAAACACTCGGAATACATTGTTTTTGGAATATGACAATAACATTACTTAATTTTATTACAATTACAATTTCTTTTACGAGTTTGAAAATTGAAAAAGAAATCAAAACTTTTATTCAATAAATTAATAATAATAATGTAAACATGGTAGAAAGATGTGTCTAATAAAATGACTTATGATATGTATTTAAGATGTACGATCCTGGCATGCTCGTTGACGATGCTCGAGCATAGGAGTAGGAAGTTTATTTAAAATAAGCCCCGTGCATTGTTTCTGTCCCAATAATGACTGCAAGACAAGCTAATAATAAAAACAATAATAATAATATTATTATTTTTGTTATGAACATTTACACAGCACTGATTCGCACAGCTGCTTCAGAGGCGCAAATATACATTTGTGTGTACATCGTTTTGAAAGTTCTGTATAGTTGGTTTTTGTGTTTTTCATGTTTGATTTTTATTTAGTCAAGTAGTGCAGGTTGCTTCCTTGGCCCAAAGTAAAAAAATTTCAATTCCTTTTTTTAATACTTGGTAACGAGGTAACGATTTTTTATTAGTTCAAAATGCAAAACTGAACAAATGTTCACTGTTTAAGCAACGATGTTCTACGTTCACTTTAGTCGGACGAATAGCTTCTTGGGCCCTCCGACGTAGAAGTTTGTTGTTGTATGAACCGCTACTTCACTAATTGCTGAACGACGGGTAAAGTTGTTGTATGGAGAATGCTCCATAGTTGTCCAACGGCCACCAACATTTAATTATAACCTTTCCTATCTTTATTTTTGTGAATTTTTGCGCGCGGCGGAAACTTTTCTATGTTCGAATACCAGCAATCGCCGTCGCCAGCTTAGTGAGTCTCGCTTTTGGCCGGGACTCGCCTCTTCATGAATGTGCATCTCCGGGTCGGTAAACACGAGCCGGGCGGAAATGCTTTCACGATCTGCTTGTCAGTCGGTCAATCCGGCCTTGCTCACAGCTGACAAGTTTTCCTTATACATATTTTATATGTTGAACAAGACAAACAGAAGATAACTGAAAAAAATTTATTACAAACAACAACGAAAATAAACTTACTCTGCAAAATAAATGTTTCCAAAATGTTCCAAACTAAATAATAAACTAAATTAAAGCAGCAACAAAACACAGTAACACAAATTAAGAAAAATAAACCCGCAGAACAATATCACCAATTACCAAAATGACCAAAACCTAACACGCCAGGAACCGAACACCTCCAAAAACTCTACCAAAAACTAACTCGAAAAATAACTTCAAAAAACTCTCTGAAAAACTACCTAAAAAACTAACTTTGTCAAAAAACAATTGTCCAAAATACTTTTTATTTTTTATCTCCCTCTATACAACTTATTTTGCAAAAAAAATTTTAACATGTTCTAGAAAATTCTTACATTCTAAAATACAAAAGTTTTGTGGTTTAGCAGGTTCCCGGAGTTATTGTATCCAGCAAAATTGATCAACAATTGGCTTGATATATAAATGCATATATATATATAAAATATAAAAAATTAAATTGTCCTCCCATCAAAAAGATCTTTCCTGTTTTGTATGGAAATAATCATCTAAATAAGTACGAACGTTCGCTGCGTCTTTCATTTATTGGTGTGCACCTGCAAAGAGCCATCTTCGTCTTTTCGAATGAATGGCTGTTCAAAAACGGCAAAATAAATTTTTTAGAAAAAATTTCTTGTAACTACGTGTGCGTTTGTTTGCTTGAATGTTCAATTGCTCTCTCTCTCCCTTTTTCTCTCTCTCTTTCTTCCCCCCTCTCTCTCTTTCTTCTTCTCTCTCTCTTTCTCTCTTTTTCCTTTTCTCTCACTCAAAAAATGGACGACCGATGGATGGATTGAATGTTGCACGGATGTCAATAAATTTTTAGATAAAAACTGAATGAGAGTTAAGATGAAAAATATTAAAAATAGAAAAAAAAGAATAAACAGTTCGTATTTCACTGTTTCAAAGTTTGGAACATATGCACTAGCATACGTTAAAAATTAACTAACAATTGATTCATTTTCAAGAATTTTTCCAACACGTTCCATTGTTTTATGACGTACCTTCAACATTGAATTATTTTCTAACGCAGCAAAACTATCAAATGTTCAATTCAACGGTACATCCCGTTTTATGAGGAAACTCCATTGTGAATAAATTAACGCCAAGGAGAGCGCCATCTTTATTTTGTTTTGAAGAATGAACAGGAACATCGCATGTAATAACTAACACATAATATTTCAGTTTTCAAAATTGTAGGTTTGCAACAATTCAACTTACTGAAGCCGTACAACTTTAAATGCCTATCCTCTAAAACTTACAAATTTAATTCTTTTAGGGCGTCAATTCAACACAAATTATAAAATAAAATCAGAAAATTTAAAAATTCAAGTAATATATGAATTTAAATGCCCTATTGACGACTGTGCGCGTCAACAACATTCGTATATTGGTGTTACGACCACTTCACTATCAAGACGTCTCAAAATGCCTACACGAAAAGGAGCCATCACATCTCACTTGAAATCAACACATGAAAATTAAATAACTTGCCAAAAACACACAAAAATAATTTATACCAACACACTACATCTCAAGATTGCAAAAGCTCTCCTAATAGATATCAATAAACCCCAAATAAATATCCAACAAAGAATGATAACATCATTACCAACTCAACGCCTTAATATCAACTTTAATAACAATGAAGAACAAAGGAATGAATATATATATATATATATATATAAATATATAAATTATATGTATATATATTTTTGCATATACAGTATATGTAATATGTCTAGAATGAGACACAGAGAAAGAAATTATATAGAAATATAAAAAACAAATATTTATAAAAATTTACGGTATGTTGTGTGTGCTTCTTGGGTGCTTAAGCTATTCCGTCTTAGCAACAATAGTTAATATATAAACATTTAACATGTTATACTTGAGCTGAGTTGATAATTCAAACAGATCAATTTCAATTTGACAACCTGGAATGTTTAGTCGTTGCTAACTAAATTGGTATAAATAATTGCAGTCACAGCAGGAGTTTTAAGAAACAGAAAAATTGTTTTAAATAAAATTTTTATAAAATTTTATTAGAAATTTGAATCAAAATGTGCGTTTTAAAAGTTTTTTTTGTAGCCATTTTGTTGCCTTCATCAATCAACTCGTTGGCATCAGCAGTTGACAAAAAGTATGGAATGGTATGGAATGATTGTATTTGATAATATTTATATTATCAACGATTTATATTATTAACTTATATTCAATAAGAAGTATGGAATGATAGGAGAGCCAAACAACCCTGTGTGTTTCGTTTCCGAACCTGCCTCAGTACTAACTAACATACGATCAGTACTGGAATGTTCCACCAAATGTTCTCATCATGTTTCTCCCGCTGATGATAACGCCACTTGCAACGCATTCAACTACATATCAAACAATGCTAGTGATCCAGCTAAAAGTTGCCAACTGTTTCAACTGACTAGCAAAACTAAATGGACAGTGGCTCTGAACGAAACTCATTGCGAAGCTTTCGTGGTTAGTTTTTGAAGTTTTTAAAATTTTTATTTGACGATAATGTGGAAACCTACCTACAACATTTGAATCAATCGAATTAACGTTGCAGGAATCTTCGGCCAGACAAGCATTATGTTAGTTGGGTATTTTTCAGATTAGTATATATATATAGTATATATTTCACTTGTTATGGTTGTTGCAAAATAAGACGTTGCAAGCATTTAAATGACATAATTATATTTACAAAAAATTTTTTAAAAATTTGGTGATTATCAAATGAATGAATTCGACAGCTGATTCTTTTCTTATAGAACTTATCAAATTGGCTTTTTTTGAAGCTCTCAATTACACGTTAACCCGGAGCAAATCCTGCAACTTTCCATTCACCTTCAACGGTGGATTGTTCTACTCTTGTTCCAATTCACTGCCTGGTGTCAACAACACTCGTGCTCCCTTCATGTGTCTCACTGCTAACAGGCAGTTGTCCATCTGTCTTGATCCTCAAGGTTTGTTACGATGTGATGCGTTTATGTCTATTTATTCAAATTTGAAAGTGTAAAAATGTGGTATAAACTTGTTTTTTTCAAAATAATAATTAATTCTAGTCATTGTGTTCGCCAGCTTACAGTGCGGTTAACCAAACTATTCAGTTGGACATTCCAACGTTTGCTAACTCAACTCCTGTAACGTCTGTTAATGGATGGATTGTCATTCAGCAGAGGATTGATGGCTCGCAGAGTTTCAATCAATCGTGGAACATGTACAAAGTATGCACTTTAAAATAATTTTTATTTTTGTATTGTTTTATAACTTTGCACCATTTTAAACTAAAATTTGAATGTTCACAAATTATTTATTTTATATAACAAAATTGGGTTTAAATATTTGCTATATTGCAGTTCGGATTTGGAACATACTATACAAACTTTTGGATGGGCCTGGAGAAGATGCACCAATTAACGACATCGGCTGATTACAGGTTGAGATTCGAAGTTCTCATCAGTGGTGTTTGGTACTCCGATGAATATGATCATTTCAAGGTGTGTATTTCACAAACTTGAAAATTTCTATAAATAATTTTTTATATGTTTTAAAAAGTTAATCCCTACCTATCCCCAAACTATCACATTCTTTGTGTGTAGAGCATGGATTCATGCAGGTTTGCATGCGTTGTGTTGTGTTGACACCCTTTATAATCGATGAAAAAAATTGAATTAACATCAACAACAATAAGAATATAAAAAACATTAGTAGATGTTTGAAGCTTCTATAAAGAGGTCCCGCTCTTTTGTGTTTTTGATTTTCTCTTGTATTTCAATTGATAATTTAAAAGTATGAAAATATTGAAATAGAGCTAATTAACCAAATAATGAAACCAACCCCAGATCAATTCAGAGCTTGAAAAATATTCCATCAACGTATCTGGATACAGTGGAGATAAGGCTGATGTTCTGAACTATCCTAATTCCAAAAGCGTCCACAATGGTATGAAGTTTACAACTTATGATCAAGACAACGATCTTGCACCATTCAATTGTGGTCTGCAGTATGCCTCAGGGAATTGGTTCAATTGGTGTGGTTTTCAAAAAATAAATGAAGTGTATGGTTCATATAATTTTTATTACGCTTATTCTCCTACCATCACTTACTGCCGGATGATGATGAAGCGTAACGCTTAATAGCAAGTTGATAATGATCCATACTATGTTTCATACAATTCTTCTTTCTTTGAGGTTTCAAATTCTTTCAAATATTTTATGCGTGCTTTTCTATCTGTCATAGAAATATGTTCCTATCTAATAGCTAAGAATCCTTTTGTAATTATTTCTAACAATTATTCATATCAACCATGCTTTCCCGACGAGATATAAATTGGATTGTTAAGGTAAGACTGCAGAAGTGGTTTAAAAGAAAACATTTTAGAAGATATTTTAATAATCAGAGTAAATTTTCATCTTTTTTGAAACAATCTTATATTTATATGAGTGATTTCAAAAATCTTTGCAGTGATTGTTTTAATTTGTTAAAAAAAATATTGAAAACATATCCTTTTATACTGACAACATTTAAAAATCATTTTTGTTATTGATTTCTTATTATTCACAAGTTGTAAAATTTATTTCAAATTGATAGTGGTGATAGTGGGATGATCGTTACATGTTTTTAAGGAAATATGCTTGAAAAAATTAAGTTCCGGAGAGTAACCGAAAACATAAATTAACCGATATTATTTCAGGAACGAAAACCGGAACCAAACCGAAATTCGTTTTGCTGACTGAACCGAGACCGTAAACCGAAACGAAAAAAATTACGGTTCGATGCCCTTAATTTTTCAGAAAGTTTAAACAAAAAAAACTGCGAAATGTTGTAAGAAAACTTTATTTTTACCACATTTTATGAAACTTTATAGAAACTTTGATTCTTTTCAATAAAATGGAATAATGACAGAAAATTAAATGTGAAAAATATAAAATTAAATATATAAGGTACAAATAAATAATAATGACATCATAGCTTTATCAAAATCCTTGAAATAATAATGGTGACATCATCCTTCACATAGCTCATTATTGACAAAGGGTGAGAAGATCCACAAAGATGGAAATATATTTTCAATGGGGTCTGTAACGAGATCCCCCTCTTGACCTGTTGCTACCTCTGCCTCTGTAGGCTGGGTACTGTTCTAATATTTAATATTATAAAATAATATTTCATATGAAAAATTGATTAAATTCAAGCTGATCGATTTGAAAGATTTTTGTTTAAACATTTCATAAATTAAATCGTACTTTCTAAGGCATTTAATTGGAAAGTTTTAATTGCACATAGTAAATAATCAAAGTTGATTATTCTCGGTTAGAACGAAACCCAAGCACTACCATTACCATCAATTTGCCTGAGAAACAACTGATGGTGGCAACGAAACAACAAGATGAGATGATTTTTCCGGAAGACTTGTTAGATCTTCCGGACTATTTGCTAGATGTTCCAGAAGATTTGTTGGATCACGTGGAAGATTTGTTAAATCGAATCACATTAACAATTGAATGGCATTTATTACTGAATCACATTAACAACTGAATAACATTAATATATAACATGATGAATAACACTATCATTTTAATTACTGAGTCACATTAATTACTCAATCACATTAATTACTCAATCACATTAATTACTCAATCACATTAATTACTGAAACACATTAACTACTAAATCACATTAATTACTGAATCACAATAATTACTGAAAACATTTAAAACATAAATATTAACCGCTAAATATGATGAATGGGAGTAGGCCTGTTTAATGTATGATTCAAACGAAAGGGATTTTGGGAAATTTTTCGCTTCAAGTATGAATAAAAAAAAAGGAACTCAAATTTTAAAATGTTTAATTATTAATGCTCAACAATTTGTTCAAAATCAATCCTACTTCTTATTATCAAAAATAGAAAGGTACATCTCACGTGGAGAAAGAAAGTTGACAAATAAGCATCAGTCAAAACCTTCCTACAAGTTACGTTTCACCATCATCCTACAGCGAGTGACAGGAAAACCAGCGTAATCAAACGATGAACCATAAACTCCATTCAGACGCTGGCAGTAACAACTGTTGTACCAATTTCCAGATGAATAATCAAAAGCGCAGTGGGTTGTTGAAGAAAGATCGTTGTCTTGATCCGGTGTAGAAAACATCATTCCATTTTGAACGAACTTTGGATCCAGATGGTTCAGAACATCATATTTATCTCCTCTGTATCCAGAAACGTTGAGAAAGTATTTCTGAAATTCTGTGCCTACCTGCAACATTTTTTATCGTTTAAATTGTGTTGGTATTTTAACGATTTATGATATTAGAGTAGAATTCTTACTGGTACTATTTTTAGTATAATTGTCCTTTAAAATTTTTAAAATTTCATAAATAGAAAAATTATATATTAACTTAACAAACCTTGAAATGATCATATTCATCGGAAAACCAAGATCCATTGATAAGAACTTCAAACCTCAACCTGTAATCAGCCGATGTTGTCAATTGGTGCATCTTCTCCAAGCCCAACCAGAAATTATCGTTGTAAGTTCCAAATCCACTCTGTCAAATTATTTTGATAATTCAATTTAACAAGCGTTTATTGATAATGGTTTTTTTGTACCAATTACCTTGTACGTGTTCCAAGTTTGGTTGAAACTCTGCGAGCCATCAATCCTCTGCTGAATGACAATCCATCCATTGACAGACATGACAGGAGTTGGGCTAGCGAACGTTGGAATGTCCAACAGGATTGTTTTGTTGACTGCACTGTAGGCTGTTATGCATTAAAAATTGACTGTATTTTTCCATTGTTATAGTTGGATTAACATTTTCATCAGACATCATCTTTATCCAACATTACGGTCATTTATAAAAAACTTGAGGAACAATCTACATCATTGCCAATGTTTGAAGTTGGTTGGCACTCATTCTATCAATCAGTCATTTTTTCATTAATTTATTCTCAAGTTTACTTCATTCATTTATTCTTTCATTTATTCTTTCTTCAATCATTAATTTTATTAAAAACCCTTCTTTATCTAAAACTTTTCATTTCAAACGATGTACCGGTCGAAATTTTGTTTAAGAAATTTGAAAAAAAAACTTCGTTTAAACCTTCATGTTGGAGACATATTGACAACTGCCAGTTAGCATTGAGACACATGTAGAGAGCACAAGGATTGCTGATGCCAGGAAGTGAGTAGGAACAAGAGTAAAACAATCCCCCGTTGAAGGTAAATGGAAAGTTGCAGGATTTGCTCGGGGTCAGGATAGAAATGTTTGCTTTTAAAAATAAATCACCGTGAAAAAAGATATTCTAAATTATTTTTTCATAAGTTTTTCGTTTTTACAACAAGAATTGCAAGATATTAATCAAATTTCTGAAAAGTTATAAAACTACAACAACCACGGTTTAAATGCATTCGGTAGCATTATGAAAATAATTTTTCGATTACAAAAGAAAAAATATTAAACTTACAAACAGGTATAGTTAGGTTGCCAGTCGAAGCTTTGTCAATGAAAAACGATTGAACAAAACTAATTCAACTTTAATAAATTAATTACAAATTTATTCAATTATATTCAATAAAGCATAACCAAAGTTTAATTTTATTAAATTGTTTGTCGTAAATATGAGTATTAGGAAATAAACTGTCCATATTCGTGAAAAATGTAATAAGAACTGCTGAATTTTAAATAAATTTATGGTTAGAAGGAATGAAATAACTAACACAATGCTTCTCTGGCCTCAACGTCCTACATTTGAAATATAAAAAAATTAATAAATTATTGAAAGATACATTATTTGACGGTTACATTTCACAAATAATTGCAAGAATTAACTAGCTTCGTAAGCTCGGCATTGAGATTTTTTCAGAACAATCTCGTAATGAACATCGCAAGTGAAACGAAACAGTTGGCAACGTTTATCATTTTTGGATATGTAGTTGAATGCGTTGCAAGTGATGCGATCATTAGTGGGAGAAACATAATGAGAACATTTGGCAGAACATTCCAGTAAGGATCGTATGTTGGTTAGTACTGTGTTAGGTTCGGAAACAAAACACATGGGGTTGCCTGACTCTTCTATCATTCCATACTTCTCATCAACTGCTGATGCTAACGAGTTGACGGATGATAAGAGCAAAGTGAATGTTACTAATAATGCTATCAGCAACATTTAGGCAATAAAATTTTAATGCTATTTCCTGAATATTACATTCGAATTTCTTCAAAAATAAAATATTTTCTGATTGTGAATAAATTGTTCGCATATATTTATTTAAAATCTTAAAATTATTTTTAGAACAAACTCAAGGTTTCCAGATTTGCACCTAACCACAGTTCAGATCTTCATTATCTCTGTCATTATAGCATTAAGATAGCCTCAACTTCCTCTTACCACACCAAACGACGTCCATTAGCTTTTATCGCTAATAGCAGTTTTAAAAGTTTTACAGTGCAAATGAACATTTAGCACCAAGAAAAGTTGTTTAAAAATTTTTTTAGTTCCATCGTTCATGAGGCTTTTAACATTTCACAGTGCAAGATAGTTGTTAGTACTCATCAAAGTTTTTTAACCAATAGTTTCAGTGCAAGTTTCTGTTCAGTTGACAATTTTTCGATTATACTGAAATTTTCGAGTCAAACCTCGTAGTTTTCTGAAGGAAGGGATGATGGCGTTGAAATGAGCATGAATTTTTGTGTAGTCTTGTAATGTTTCCAATCTGTTTGAGTCTCGTTTAACGTAAGTTCAAGTTTTAATAATCTTTCTTCAAATTATTGCAATTCTTGCATGATTTGTTCCTCTTTTAATCGATTGAAATTGATTTCATTTGATATCCGAAATCCTAATTGCTGCTAGTTTAGTTTAAATAGTAAAAAGTTAAATTCAATCGTTTGTCCGTTCATTTATTCATTCATTTGTTCGTTTGTTCGTTCGTTTGCTCACTCACTCACTCACTCACTCATTCATCCATACATCCATACATCCATCCATCCATCCATCCATCCATTCATCCATCCATCCAACCATCCATCCATCCTTCCATCCATTTATCCATCCATTCATGCAGAAATTATGATAAGAAATTTTTTGAAAAAAAGCAACAAAACTCTTAGCTTTATAACCCCAGCAATGAGTTTTTTGTAATGAACATCGCAAGTGAAATGAAACATTTGGCAATTCTTAGCTGGATGACTAGTATTCTTGGATATGTAGTTGAATGCGTTGCAAATGATGTTACAATTACCATCAGTGGGAGAAACATAATGAGAACATTTGATAGAACATTCGACATTCCAATAAGGATCGTATTTTGGTTAGTTCTGTGGTAGGTTCGGAAACAAAACACATGGGGTTGTCTGGCACTCCTATCTTTTCATACTTCTTATCAACTGCTGATGCTAACAAACTGTCTGGAAGGAGTTTTATTAACGCAAAAACTGTTATGAACCACATTTTTGAGGCAACTTAACAAATTTTCGATTTAACTCCGCAAGAACAAGTTAACGTTACAATCTAATTTTAATTGGCGGCCCGGGGCGGTCCGCAGCTTCCCCCTTATTTGTTCGCTAGAACGATCGGTGGTTCATTAAATATTCATTTCGTTCTTTATTATGAAAATGCTCAATAATAACTATACCTATCCACTTTATTCACATTTGAAGCAATTATTGTGCTCATTAAAAATTTGAGAATCAATCGATTGAATGCTCACAATTAAAACTTATATTAAACAATATGCGCTGAATAATAACATACTGAACTTCGATATTTTCAGCTTTATAATCCAGGGAATAGGTGTCCCCAAAACTTTCAACAAAATTTACCTGATGAATCTTATTTCTCTGTATTAAAAATGATCTAAAAGAAGAGTAACAAAAGTAAGTGTTTTATAAAATGACAAGCAGCATGTAAAGTACATAACAGGCGTGTTGTACCTGGCACAGTAGTACACCCAGTATGGCAGGCCTCAGGGCAGCAAAGCGTGTCGGCACCACTCACTCCACCTACACTAAATTTAAACTATATTGTACTTGAAGCAAAAATAGTTTTAATTCTTTGCAAGCAGCAGTGGTAACAAAGAAAGGAAACATCGGTCAATTTAAGTTGGTGATGAGATGGCATAAAATGCAGACCCCAGGTAGTCAAAATTTTGATGAAACATTTTTGCTTGAAGATGTCATTGAAGGTGATTAAATTAATAACTCTCCAGTTGAAAGTATAAACTGAAGACTCCATTATTTTTTTACAATATTTAACTTAATATACTTTGGTCACCTTTACGATATTTGAATATTTTTAAGTAGTTTGTAAGTTAAATTATTTGAAGTATAAAAATTCTGCAATACAAGTGAGAGCGCTTTCTACTGCCCCTCCAGACTTCTCATACAACTTTAACGCTCGCAAAATTAAAACAGCAATCAATTGATTGATAGTTGAACATTAAAATTTAAAAATTTTCGGACCGGTTTTGTTCAGAAATTTCTTTATGATAAGCCAACATTAAATCAATCTAAACTTCATCAACAATGAATGTCGTAATTGTTTTGTGTTGGCTTATGTTTCGTTCCATATGTTATTAATTTTACATTCTACACCAATCATCTTCTTCCATTTTGTTCATTTTGTACAAACCAACTGAAAAATTCAAAAAAAAAAATTACATTTTGAAAATGAATTTTTAAATGTTCATCTCAAAATGTTCTATTTCAACTTTATTTTTATTAAAAATATTTTATCAAATGATACGGTTTTCGCCAAGTTTTCGTACAAGTTTAGTAAGTATGGCAGCCAAGCATGCGTTAAAAATGTTCCCGACGAAGTTTCGTGATTTGTCAGAATGCAGAGGACTGCACAGGATGCAACTACCACTCGGACAACAACAGCTGCCAGATATTCAGGAGCGGGTTGGGCATCAACGTGGAATATTGAGAATGGATGAGTTGTTAATTTTATCAGGTTTTCTCTTTTCAGTTCCTCTGTTTCTAAATTTTATGCAAATATGTATTTGTATAAATTTTTGAAATAAAATCAGTTTCGTAATAAAAAATGTTCAATTTTTTCAAATTTTTTGTTTAAACGTTGGCTGCTATGATGATTTGAAATGCATTAGTAGAGCAGTGTATTCAAAGTTTTGAAAGTTTTAATAGAAAGTTAAGGAAATTTTTAAAGGCAAATAAATGATGGTAATGTTTTTAAAACACCAAAGCCTTAAAATAAAGAAAATAATTAAAAAATTATAACAATTTTAGTGACGATTTTAGGTTTTAGATGTCATCATCTTAATGGCTGTATTATTTTACAAAGTGTGGGAACATTGTTTAATTGCATGAGAAATAAGGTCTTTGGTTATGGCGTTTGTTTGTTTACTCAAATTTAAATTTTCTCTAAATTCTTTTATACATTTATCCAAATTTTATTCCAATTATTATCATTATAAGTTATTATTTGTATTATTATTAAATTAATTTTATAATTTTCTTAAAAACTTTATTTATAAGTAAAAGAGAGGTTAGTTTTCTTTTTTAAATTTAATTAAAAGCTCCCGACAATAGTCTGGGCAGCCTACTGCTGCAGTTTTCAATTAGAGAAATTTTTTTTCTTCTTTGACCATGGCAGAAAGAAAGAGACAAAGAGTGTTAGAAGATCATTCTGACTTTCCTTGTCCTTTAAATTATGTAGTTGAGGCTGAGAAAGAAAATATGTTTTCAAAAATTTCAATTTCTCAAATACATAAATTTTTTACAAACAATGTAGGTGATGTAGAAATTACTAAAATTTTTCCCAAAAAAGTATTTATTAAAATTAATAATGAAAACCAAAGGGATAAGATAGAAAATATTAACAGAATGTTTGATTGTAATATAAAGACTTACATTGATAATAAAACAAATGTGGTAAAAGGAGTGATTAGAACAAGCATTCTAAAAAATTGTTCAGAGGAAAAAATAATGGATGAGTTGTGTACAGAGGGAGTAATTGATGTTAAAAATATAAAAATAAAGAACAAATAAAGGACAAATAAAAACTAATACCTACATAATTACTTTTCAATTATCCCAATTTCCCACAAAAATTAAAATATGCTATTCTAAAGTAAAAGTTGAGAAATACATTCCCCCACCCATTAGATGTACTCGATGTCAAAAATTTGGCCATTTCCACAAATTTTGTAAAAATAAATCAGTTATATGTGCTTATTGTGGTGAAACCGGTCATAAGCACTCATGGGAAAATCCATGTAAAAACAATCCTAAATCAAAAACAAATGCTAATTTCATTGTGGACAAGCTCACCCATCATGTGATAAATCTTGTCCAACCTACAAAATTGAAAAAAAAAACAATTGAAACAAGAATCATAAAAGGGATAACCTACAAACAAGCCAAAATTTTAACAATATCAAACGATAAACCAACATATGCTAGCATAGTACAACTTAAAACAACAAAAATAACTACAGACATTGGTATCCAATGCAATTTATTAAACGTCCCATTACTAAAAAAACTCTCAAACAAGAATCTTCAGATAGATAAAACAACATGTGATGTTCTAGATGATATTCTATTAAACAACATGCATGATAACCAAATGACACGTGCACCCAATGTATATGCTCTCCCATCAGATGACACTGAGATGGAAAGTGATGAGGAGTTAAGATTTAAAAAGACACAACTTCCCAAACAATATACTAAGAACAAATCTCATATAAAACAAAAACAATGACGTTTAAGTAACCATGAAATTAATATATTACAATGGAACATAAGAGGTACAAAATGTAACATACTAGAATTATTTATGGAAAAATACAACCCTCATATCATATGCTTACAGGAAACTAAATTAATTAAAAACAAACAAATTGAAATTATAAACATCTGTTCATACTATTTAAATGCTACCCCGACAAATACAAACCCAAAAGGAAGACTTTCTATCTATATACATCATTCTCTTATCCAATCACAAATAAATATAAATTCAATTTATTCAATAGCTGTTAGAATTACCTTAGACTTTCCTTTAACCATTTGTAACTATTATAATCCTCCTAATACAAAAATAGGTGATAAACTTGAAAACATTATTAAATCTCTCCCAGTGCCAGTGATAATATTAAGTGATTTCAATGCAAGAAACATACTTTGGGGTGACAACAAAATTAACAGATTAGGCAAGGAATTAGAACATTTTATTGTACACTCAAATATATTATTAATTAAACCACACATGCCTACCCATTATCACATACAAACAAATACATGGTCCATAATAGATCTGTCTTTAGCCTCCCCCAATGTTTACAGACATGTAACATGGCATAAAGATGATGACTTACACAACAGCGATCACTCTCCAATAGTTCTAACATACATTATCTCAAACCAAAACAATGTAACGTATATAAAATATAACACTAATCGAACTGAGTGGAAAACGTTTGAAACTTTATGTCAAGATAAAATAAATCCAAAAACTATTACTAATCAAAAAGAAACTCACCCCATAATTTTTATTTCAAACACAATTAACTCAATATTAGAAGAAACGACTCCAATTAAAAAAACTAACAGTAACAGAATTAAAAAATAAATAAATCCATGGTTTAATGAAACATGCAAAAAAAGTAGACTTCTTAAATTAAATGCACTCAATAGATACAGAAAATTACCAAATCTATTTAATCTTCTAGAATATAAAAAACTACAAGCTAATGCTTGAAAAACTTTTAGACAAGAAAAATCAAATATATGGAATAAATATATAAATAACATTAATATAAATACACCAATGAAGCAAATATGGACTATGGTTAATAAAATAACTAATAAAAATAATATCAGTCGCATTAGCAGACTACAATATAAAAATAAAATATATGAAAGGAAATCAATTTAAAGAAAACTCTTCTCTAATAAATCATTAAACAGAATCTATAAATTATATGAAAATGAAAGAAAATGTCATAATAGACTTTAATTCAACAAATAGTGAGCCATATAATGACCTAATAACATTGTCAGAAATAGATCATGCCATAACCTCCAGCAAAAATTCTGCTCCTAGTCCATACCAAATAACCTATAATACTCTTAAAAAACTACCCTTTATTACTCTACAAGCATTGGAAAAAGCATTCAATCTTATTTGGGCACAAGCTGACGTTCCTAATGAATGGCAAAAGGCATTAGTATTGCCAATACCTAAACCTGTTAAAACAAAAACCAATCCTGAAAATTATAGACCTATCTCATTAACAATTACCCTCTGTAAAGTCTTTGAAAAAATATTATTAAATAGGTTGCAATTCCATTTAAATATAAATAACACAATGTGTTTTCAATTTTTTTCATCAATACAATCATGGTGGCTAACGCTACTAATAAAAAGAGGTGCTGCTGTAGCTACCGCTCCTACCGTTACAGCTACTATAAGGGCTGGGGCGTACCGAAGTGTACTGGCGCCCGAGCAAGTAGCCCTTTTGGCAACCCCCCCTATCAATGATATATCAAAGAATCGATCTTGTCCCATAGATGTTCTTAGACACGTAGAAATAAGTTTTAGTTTGCTAAATGAACGCTCGCAGCTTGCTATGGAAACAGAATTTTTTTTTCTTCCAAATTTTATTTGACAATCAGGCAATGAAGATGTTAGGAATGAATTTGTGCTGAATCCCTTACATAAATCCACAAAGAACTAATAGATTTTTCAATAAGAAACTGGATGGTTGTTAATATCAACAATAGACTCATGTCCTAAAATTGACACATAGAATAAATTGCAATATCAATTTAATCAAGCAAACTAAGAAAAACTAAGTTTAACGAAAAAGAAGTGGTCAACCTAATTTGCAAACCAATTTGCCTATTTAGAAATATATCGTCACCATGTGAAATAATTAGGGATGCACCGGATTAAGGTTTTTCAAAGATTTAAAATTTAAAAACCGGCCGGGGCCCAAGTTTAGTTACCATTTTACATACGTTAAAAAAATACTCACATTTACGGTTATCTACATGTTGAACATCAAAAAATAACACCAAGCAAATAGTTAATTAATTCAAATATATGAATAAGCTGTGTGATTCGCCAAATTCTGTACATAAAGATCAGCTTATAATTTATGCATAACCCATGTTATAGCATAAAGAAAATTGTCCAGATCATCTCACAATTAGTGATGTTGTTATTATGTGTCATGTATGCCTAGCTCTAACTTTTAACATACCATGTTCTTAAATTATGCGCTTATGTATCTCTATGTATATATATATTATGTAGCTATATGATCCGTCATTTACAATTATATAGTATGCACAAGTTCTTTTACACAAAGATCAGCTTATAATTTATGCATAACCCATGTTAAAGCACAAATAAAATTTTCCAGCTCATTTTAAAATTAGTGATGTTGTTATTATGTGTCATGTACGCGCTTAGCTTTTAACTTATTGACATAAAATTAATTGAATTCAATAAATTTTTTTTTTATTTATAACATTTTTAAATATCGATAAACGCTTCAATCCGGATTTTGGCCGGGGCCGAACTTCGATGCATCCCTAGAAATAATAAATGACAATATTTCAAGCGGGCTTCCTAAGACAGCTTCTGGTCGAATTTTCAGCAACACACTGCAGTCATAATTAGTTACTTTTCATCAATATGAGTTTCATAAAAGCCAGTCAGTGAGGTACATTGCTGTTGAATATTTTTTGAGTTATAAGTATCAAACAACTTGCTGATATCGAAAAGAAATCCAATTCATACATGTCAAATATATACTCACGCCTCTTGTTTATAAAAATTTTGAAGTTCCAAGATTATCTGCAGGATACGCTCAACGCTCTAAATATAGTTTTACTTTTTAAACGTCATTGCTTCAGAGATACTAGAAACTCCAGTATTTGCGAAAACACCGGCGTTTAATCCAACAACCAAACTGAAGAAAATATCACCACCTTCCAGCTGAGATGACTACCTACCTGAATTTCTGTCCAGCCATGCGGTTCGACGACATAACTGACTACTCATATTTGAGTCATTGTCCATAAACATATCTACCCATGTTAAATTAAAAACATCTTCAAAATGAATTTCATAAGACTATGCACTCAATTTATTCATATTTTTCAAAACGTCTAAAAATTTACACAAACAGCTAATATTCATAAACATTCAAAAAATATACAATACATGATTATATGCACAAAAATAAATTATTCGTATATCTGTAGATAAAAGATCTGTTCTATAGTTCTTGTGAAAGACCGTGAACAGTTGACAGAATCGCATCCCTGCTGATCAAAACAGCGCAAAAGTTCCAACGTTTAATATTTACAGACACACTTTTAGCTTCTGTGGAAACCACGCCAACAACTTTGATTATTTACCATGTGCAAATAAAACTTCCCAATTAAATGTCTTATAAAGTACGATTTAATTTATGATACGATTTAATTTATGAAATGATCAAACAAAAAATTTTCAAATCGATCAGCTAGATTTTAATCAATTTTTCATATGAAATATTAATTTTCGAATTCTCTAATTGTCGACAACGGAACAACACGGAACAACTTGTGAATCCAAGCGTCGCCCCACGTGGTAAGGTTGGGACTATTTGCACTAGAGTCCCAAGCAAAGATTTTTCTAAACCGCAACCACCCACATCCGCAAAGTTCACGTCCGCAACCGCCCACATCCGCACTGCTCATAATCCGCAGCTGCGAAAAGACAACCTAAATCGACCGTCTTAATGTCATGTTTAAAATTAGAAGATAGCAACACTAGAAGGTAATCTATTTACAATATAATTATAATCAGACTGCAGATAATCTCAATGTATTTTTGTATTTTACAATTTAAAAAATTTCAAATAATTAAAATATTAACAAGTACAAAATGAACAACGATGTGGAAGTTGAAGAAGCATTTTATTTATTTATTTATCATATGTTATCTTTGCTGATACTTTTAAAAGTCTGTACTAGAATCAAATTCAGAAGATGTGTATGATGTTGCACATATATTGCTTGTTGGGCATTTTTCTTCATTCGGGTTTGGACATCGGAGAGTGTACCTCCCATAACTGAGGCTCCATCGTAACAATGAGCGATTAGGTGGTTCCAGTTTGGCTTAAACTCATCAGTAATATCAATGATAGACGATGTTAGATAAAAAGCATCTACCGGATCATGTTATATGCTCCAAGTGGTTTTCCATTGATGAAGCTATTATCAAAATATCATATGTTTTAACTGAGCCGTTCCTTCTCGGATACGTCTCTGGTTTCATCAACAAGTATTGAACAATTCCTGACCTTTTTTACTATATAGAATCGGTAGTTTCTCACTCGGATAAAAGTCGTCTCATCAGTTTTTTTTCTCTCACTCTACGGTTCTGAAACCAGTACTTAACCTGACGACTAGTCAGGCTGGTTTCATTTACAGTTCGCTCCATATCAATGCGATTGATATATTGGTTTTGGCTAAATTCCCGTTCCAAAACATTAAGTATTTCAACGCTGTAACCCTCACGGTAAAATTCATCTGTGCGAATCATATCTTCCGTTTTATTCTTTTTCTTATTTTTTACTTTTTCATCTGTGCAAATCATATTCTCCGCTTTAATTTTTTTCTTATTTTTTTCTTTTTTATTCTCACCATTTAAATCAATTGGGAGATCTTTCGGAAGAAGAGGTAGCAAACTTTCTGGAAAATGTTGCAAATCTTTTGGAAGATTTAACAAATCTTCCACGTGATCCAACAAATCTTCTGGAACATCTAGCAAATAATCCGGAAGATCTAACAAGTCTTCCGGAAAAATCATCTCACTAGGATCTGGTAGCTCCTGCGGTTCGGTAGGTTGTTGTTTGGTTGCCACCATCAGTTGTTTCTCAGGCAAATTGATGGTGATGGGCCCTGGTGCCTTTTTTGTAAATTTAGGCAAGATGATTACTTTTTTCTGCGACATCGAACGTTGTTCATTCATATTAGAAATTTTCTGTAGAGATTCTAGCGACAGGATACTCTTTGCAATGTGGAAAAATATTTCAAATTACTTTTACAGAGGAGTCAAATTGTTATCCAATAATTTACTTCAATAATGGTTGAAACTTTTATAGGACAAATTAGTCCATAGAATCATTACTTTGAAGTTTTACAATTTTTGTTTGTAATATTTACTGTCTTTGTCATCTGCAATGTAGTATCATTTCTCTTGTTAAACTTTTTCAATGGAATTTCATGATTGAGTCGATATATTATTTTTTACAAAGCGTATTGTTCATCTTGAACATTTTAATTTTTCAATATGTTTTCGATTTCGTTGAAATAAAATTTTTGAAAAACGAGAAAAAAGTTTCAACTCCTTCGTTCATAGAATTACTTTGCTAAGACTTGCTCCGCGTCACACACGCGAAACAGTTTGTTTCGCGTAGTGTGTGGGTTTCGTTCTAACCAAGAATGTACAACTTTGATTATTTACTATGTGCAAATAAAACTTTCCAAATAAATGCCTTAGGAAGTACGATTTAATTTATGAAATGTTTAAACAAAAATCTTTCAAATCGATCAGCTAGAATTTAATCAATTTTTCATATGAAATATTATTTTTCGAATTCTCTAGTTGTCGACAACGGAACAACTCGTGAATCCAAGCGTCGCCCCACGTGGTAAGTTTGGGACTATTTGCACTAGAGCCCCAAGCGGAAATGATTTTTATAAACCGCAGACACTCGCATCCGCAAAGTTCACGTCCGCAACCGCCCACATCCGCACTGCTCATAATCCGCAGCCTCGAAAAGACAACCTAATCGACCGTCTTAATGTCATGTTTAAAAATAGAAGACAGCAACATTAGAAGGTAATCTATTCACAATATAATTAAATTTGACAAACTATCGTCTTTGAAGACACAATGAAATTTGACAAACACACATTACATGTAAATACACGTGAAACAAAACATCACACATTCAAAATGATCTTTGCAATCGTCGAAGATTTGATGCTTAACGTAATGTCATCCAGTATAGTATGTTTTTACCTCATCATATGAACAGTTTGGCAAAATTTTTCATAAGGTTGAAACAATAAAAAAGCGAAATATTTTGAAAAAAATCTTTATTTTTACCACATTTTATGAAACTTTATAAAAAGTTTGGTTGTTGTCAATAAAATTGACAAAAAATTCAAGTTTAATTCTTTTCAATAAAATTGATAAAAAATTAAAAAAAATTTAATACTTATTAATATCAATGTAAAGAATGCGTATCAAGGGAAATAATCAGATGACAGCAACAACATTTGTATCAATGTTTCTTCAATAGGGTCTGTAACGAGATCCCCCTCTTGACCTGTTGCTATCTCTGCCTCTGTAGGCTGAGTACTGTGGCTGATGTTCTGCGTTTGATTCGAACCGTGGCACAGGTGTTGGGATGTGCTGCACTTTAACTAAATAGCGACCTCTTCCTGCCATTGGACCACCCCTTGACCTTATGCCTCTCCTTCTCGGTTGTCTGTCTGTAGTTGACAGACCATGTATATTGGTTCTCTTTGCGATGACTTCAATTTGTCTTCCGCAAAACAGTGACTCATTTAGTTTTAGGGCTAATTCAATAGACACAACGTCCGAAAACCTAATGTATGCAAAGCCCTTAGACTTGCCGCTAAATTTGTCACGTAAGAATTTTGTTCTCATAATGACACCACATTGTTCAAAGTGTTTTATTCAACCTTCCAATGTAGCCCCATTAGTCTACGTTGCGGACCCATATTAATCTCCGTCGACTTCAAATGTGGCTGATTGTGCGGTTTTGAGTAGCTCCGTAACGAACATTTTTTTTGAGGTTTCACATTTCTCCCTTTCTTCTTCCAATTTTTTGGATTTTCTGCTCCCTATCTTGCACTTCGGCATCTTCGAAAATGGTGTTTGCTCCTTTTGCGCTTCCAGTTGCAACATCCGTGGATTCACCATGTGCTAGTGAAGTCAACTCTAAACATCTAGCTGGCCCACTGTTATCATGGTTATTTTTAAACTCCTTATCAGATGACATTTTGATATTACCACGATTTTGACAAAATCGTGGTAATAATGAGAAATAAAATTTATATTTAAAATTCGTACTATTCGCATTAGTTGTTATCAGAGCACCGTAAATTAGGTTTTGATGCATGTATAACTTAACCTTCGCATTATATACATTCGCAAATCAACTTTGCCTTTCTTTGTTGCATGAAGTTCTTTGCTATACCTGCTGCTTTACGACGTTACGACTTTGCATTGTTTCACTTTATTTACTGCTGAAGTTGTTTGTTGTTCTTTGTTGGTCATGATGAACGTACACATATACACACACAAGAACACAGCGCTTGTGAAGACTCGTGAATACTAAACCTCCCCGATTTAACCTTCATTCAATAAAAGTAAACTGAAGTACGAAGAAAGGAACGTACGAATTTATATACGAACTCTATGAAAAACTTACGATACTAATGGTTAATACAATAATTGATTGATTTGATTGATTTGGTTACAATAATCACTTTTTCATGAATACTTAATTCTAAATTTGTAATTTTTGTTCATTTATATTGTTTTACAAAGAAAAATGTAACATTTAATTTTTTAGGTCAAAAAACAAAGGGCAACAGCAGAAACAACGTACACTTACAAGATATTATTTCCAAAGAGTGAATCCCCTTTCTTTGCCTTTTACTTCACCTTTCTCATTATCTTCGTCATCCTCATTTCAAACCAATCCGATTCTCTACCTGCAGATGAAACTGCACTAGATAGCCGAGATGAGCATCAGCTCACTGTTAGTGACGAAAGTGAACCTCAGATTAACAAGAAATTTCGAATTGAGAAGTGGCTAGAAAGAGGAACAAGACGTAAAATGGAAGATAGAAGACGTAGAGAGGAAGATAAGAGACGTAAAAAGGAAGATGAAAAACGTAAAAAGGAAGATGAAAAACGTAAAGAGGAAGCTGATAAACGAGAAGAAGAAGATAAAATACGTGAAGAGGGAGATAAAAGACGTGAAGAGGAAGATGAAAAACGTAAAGAGGAAGATGGTCGATATTAGGACATCATTATTGAATGTTAAGTGATTATTATGATATTCTGATACAAAAAGTCAAAACAATAATAAATATTATATATAATAATTATACACAATACGCTAACAATATTTCTACTTTTAAACTATTTTTTGGATTGGTTGTTTTTTTTCTGTGAAGGAATAAATTGTTTATGCATCATTTCTGTTGGTTTTGTTAATTTTTCTGAATTCATTTTTTTCATTGGAAAGGTTTGTTTTAAAATATCGCAATAACAATCACGTCAATAATACTACCACTACAATACTACTGCTACTACTTATACTACTACTACTACTGCTACTACTACAACTACTACTACACTACTACTACTACTACTACTACCAGTAATACTACTACTACTAACAGCTAACTGGAATATGAGGATTAAGAAATTGATGAAGGTGACAACTGCGCTAATCGGGTGACACGCTGAATATGTTTTTATTGGTTTCTTCTTTGTTCATTGTAAGTTATAATTATTGTATCATTATTGAAGCTATTGAAACATTGGCAGTCCTGTTCAGGCGACACATCACGAGCTGGTTTTGAAGGTGTGAAAAAAAGAAATGAAGACACTGATGATGTTATCGATGATGAAGATGATAACTCACGATGATGACAATGAGGCTGCTGCTAGGTGTTGTTATGTTTTCGAGGCATGCTACAGAGGAGATACTTGGAGGCAGTATATAAGACGCGGAGGAGGACTTCCATATTGTTTGAAAACCATTTTGGAAGTATTAATAATAAAACTTAAATTAATTTATTCAGACAATTTTAAGAATTTGAAAGTTTTAAATACCCTTAAATTTATCGTTGCTGTGATCCAAAATATTTGTGAACAGGAAAAGTAATTTGCAATTAACGTTGAGCGTTTAACAGCAAGAGACAACTTTGCCATAATAGTTGAGGTCAAGAACGATAAAAATGATGCTGACTTTCCAGATGGCTCCTCTCATCAGCATCCTCATCTTGTGGACGGTCAGTGTTGAGGCGAGAAAATTGAAACAAAACATTGCAACGAGAGATCCTCCTTTCATGGAAAAACACTACCAACAACTGCACCTCACTAAAACCGGAAAACCAATCAAACTCGAATGTCCCATCTCTGAACCTCAACACAACATTTTTATAATCTGGGAAAAACAAGTCACATCAGATCACAGTAAAACACCGACTGACTACTACAATTCATCTCATTCGGTCATAAGTTATCAAAAAGTTGTACCATCCCTGGTTAGAAATGGAAGGTTGCGTATTAAGAATGCAAAGGTTGAAGACGCTGGTACATACCGATGTACGGCTATTAACGGTTTCGGATCGTCAGTGGCCCATTTTCGAGTGGTGGTTGCACGTGAAAGCAAAGAGGAAGAAATAAAAACAACAGATGTTCCCAGTGACACAACTGGCTCAACATTTGTTCAGAGTTCTAACAAACCGCCAATTATATCAACATCGAGTCCAACATCAACAACGCAAACATCATCGTCATCATCTTTAATCGACTTTTCATCAACTCATTTCTTTTTCAGCAACATGGACTCTCAATGGACAATGAACAAGTTGGGACTGATCCTTGCTTCCGGACTTGTTTCATTGGCTGGCCTGGTTGTCTTGGCAACGTACATCATCAACAATTGTAAAATGAATGGAGGTCCAGTGTTCAGAAGCAATGGTAGTGATTATATATTACGCAGGTTTCTATCCATGCCAGATGAACATGTGTTCAACCACAACAACAACAACGTCAACCACTACTGCAACGCAACAACGACAATTCTGCACAGACCAACTAACGATAGAAATGTTCTTTCTATGCCAGCGATCGACACCATTGCCAGCCTTGAGCCGAGAATACATAACATGTCTAAAAAGTACAGCAATAACGACTATCGAGTAGTTACGGTTCAGCAAGCTTCCACTCTTCCAATCCATCATCACATTCCTATAAATCATCCCATTCCTCGAACTCATGAATACTTCACAAATCTTCCAGAGCAGTACATTTCTGCTTACTGCGACATTTCACAGAACCACATCACCCCTAACAATCTGGTCAGCAACTTCACAAACACAGCCACATCCCCCTCAACCTTCAACAACAGAACAATGATGGTCAACATATTGAGCAGATTCATATCCAGTTTGAACAATAATGTAATTAACATCGGCAGTAGACGGAGCAGCGTTCATAACGATCGTGACGTTGAGTGTGGTCGGTCAGGTAGCAACAGAATTTACAACATTAATCGCATTCCTCGAAACATCAACAAGAACAACCACATTAACAACAATTGCGTCAATAACAGCCACGTCAGTAACAACAATTACATTAACGTTAAAAACTACATTACCAACAAAAACATCATTAATGGTGGGAACAACCCCATTGGAGTTCATCGACCTAGTTTCACCAGATACCATTGGATGGTCAACAATCATCCTGACATCATTTCAACAACAACTTCATTGAACTCAGCAAGGGCCACCATCAACATCTCACCTTAGATGATGTTGATGACGATGATGATGATGATCTTTATGACATGGTGGTGGTGGTGGTGGCGATTACGACGACAGTTTTTCGCGTGTTTATTTAATTAAATAGTCTTGTCGCCATTTCATATGTCCCATGTTTTATTTACTTAATGTCTCTCGATTTAAACAACTTTGCTTGCTATTTAATTTTTGACAACGAGATCATTGTCATTATATAATTGAAGTAACTTTTACTTTCGATTTCGTGAATCTATTAATTATTTTTTTATAATAATGTTTAATTTTTTTCCACAATTTAAATAGAAAGTAGATAACAAAACGAATAAACCGAAAACTTAAAAAAATTTTTGTTGAATAAAGTTTTAGCTGGCTTTTAATGTCTTTAAAATGCAAAAAACGGTCCAAAATCTAAAATTTTGATAACTTCAACTTATCACAAATTCTATGTTTATGTAAAACCTTTGAAATAACCTCGTAATTACTCATCACGTACCTGTGAGTGTGTGTGTGTGCGTGTGTGTGTGTGTGCGTGCGTGCGTGTGAGGGTGTTTAAATCGTGTTTTTTTATTTATTCGACGACGATATAAAGACATGGTTTTTCAAAATTAATCTCGACTTTATTTTTTAATCAGGTCTAGAAAGCAAAATTACAATGCATTATTTCACGATTTCAAAAAAGAATAAAGTAAAAATATTGACGAGTAAACAAAATGTGACTTTCTCACTAAAATATAGTCATCGAAGTGATAATGAAAAATTAAAAATCATTAGATATAATAAAAGTTTATCACGGATAAAAACAAATATATCTTAGAAATTTATAAATAAAATCAAAACGTTAATTATTTTAAAAACTATTAAATGGATAAAAAAAAGAGCATGTAAAACATGAACGATGAAAAGATTAATTATTATTCTCTCATAGAAATGCTCTAGTTAACCAGTGTCTCTTCAGTATTTGTTTGACTTTTTTTACTGATCAGTTCTACCAAGCCCAACAACTAGTTTTGCAGCGGCGTTTTGAATGCGTTGAACTATCTGAACCACATCAGCCCAGGACCAAATATTAACGAGTTACAATGATTCAATCCCCTTAAGAAGTTCATAAATACCCCATTTAATAGCGGCCCCATCGTAGTAAATAGCAAATTCATCACAGTCCTGTACTTCCTGGAAAAATTTAGTAATGCGTGGTTGCCTTTTTTCGAAATTCTCAATTTCCCTTTGCAAATATTCAGCGTGTTCTCTTTCAATGATTTGTTTTATATAGTTTTTATGTCCTCGCTCATGCGGTTATTTTGACTCTCCGCGTCATCCGAGGACTCATCCGATTAGGATTTACAGGGGGAACTGTCGAGGTAATTGATAACTTTTGAGTGATGTGTATTGTGTGGACTGTCATCCTTATTACGTTCTCTTTTTTTGCTTCTACGTTTCTCATTAATTGTCGTTTCATATGGAACTGGCTGTTTATAGGAAGTCCTTTCGTTGTAATTAGATGATTGATCGATTCGACAACTTGTCTCATTTATTTCTGTAGAAAACTTTTGATTGTCATTTTGTTCGTGAAATGTTCGTTTTGACCTTTTGCCATATATCTTTCTTGACAGCGTTTTCTTTTTTTATCTTGTAGGTAGGAAGTTTTTTGGTGGTAATTAGATTCTTGATCGTTTCCAGAACTTGTCGCATTTATTTTTGTAGAATATTTTTGACTGCCATTATATGATTGTTCGTTTTGACCTTTTGCCACATATCTATCTTGAGAGCGTTTTCTTTTAGTGCCTTGTTTGTAGAAAGTCCATTGGTAGTAAGTAGAGGATTTTTCGTCACGAGAACTTTTCGCATATCTTCCTCTCGGTTTTCTGTCTGTAGTTGACAGTACATGTATGTTGGTTTTCTTCGCCGTAACTTTAATTTGTCTTCCGCAAAATAGTGAGTCATTCAGTTTTAGGGTTAAGTCAATAGACACAACGTCCGAAAACTCAATGTATGCAAAACCCTTAAGCTTGCCGCTAAATTTGTCTCGTAGAATTTTTGTTCTCACAATGACACCACATTGTTCAAAGTGTTTATTCAAACCCTTCAATGTAGCCCCAAAATCTACGTTGCCGACCCATATGGAGAAGTAGTCAGAGAAGTAGGTAGAGAGTTCCAGAGAAAAGGACCAGAAAAGGCAAAAAGCAGATTTGGCAAAAGAGTGTTTAACACGAGTTAAGAAAAAGCGAGAAGAAGAAGACGATCGTAAACCGGGGCGTTTAGGTTCAATTAATATATCTGATAAATACTTAGGAAATAATTTAGATTGAGACTTATACATGAACGTGCAAATTTTAAAAATTATTCTATATTTTATAGGTAGCCAGTGCAAGAGAACACGATATGGAGATATATGAAAAAAGAAAGGGGCACGAGCAACTAGACGAGCAGCAGAGTTAAAAGCTTTACTTAAAGGATAGAGTATAGAGTCAGGAAGACCATAGTAGAGCGAGTTACAATAATCAATCCTAGATAAAACTAACGAAGTAACAAGAAAGAGAAGAGTAGGATCATCAAGAAAAGGCAAAAGTTTTTTTTATTCTACGTAGATGAAAGTAAGAGTAACACTATTAATCTGAAAAGAGAGAGACATAGTAGAATCAAAGATAAAACCTAGACTACGAAACTTATGAGAGACATCAAGAGTTTTAGAATCAGGTAAGATAATAGGAGGAATAGTAATTGAGTGTTTAGATTTATTAAAACAAATTAATTCAAACTTAGAAGGATTAAGTTTAAGACACATAGAGTAAGACCAAACGATAATTGAAGAAAGACATAGAGATAAACTATGAAGAACACTATTGAGATTAGATGGAGGAAAAGAAGTATAAATGTAAGAATCATCAGCATATAGTTGACTAGAGAAAGAAAAGTTATTAATAATACAAGGTAGTTCAGAAGTATAGAGTATAAATAGAAGAGGGCCAAGGATAGAACCCTGAGGTACCCCGAAAGTAAGAGTAGAGGAGTTAGAAGTAGAATTATTGAGAACAACAGAAGAAAAACGATTACAGAGATAAGAAGAAAACCAAGATAGACAAGAATCAGTAATATTAAAAGAAAGATGCAGCAGTCTCAAGAGAATAGTATGGTCAACAGTATCAAAAGCTGAGGAAAAGTCAAGAGCAAGAAGAAGAGTAAGATTACTATTGTCACTAGAGAGAAGGATATCATTGTGTATTTTAAGTAAAGAAGTTTCAGTACTGTGAGCAGTACTGAGCAAATTGAGATACAGGTAGCAAAGAGTTAAAGTCTAAATAGGATGACAGTTGATCAAAAACAACTTTTTCTATTATTTTAGAGATGAAAGTAATATTAGTTACAGGTCTATAATTAGATGAAGAGGTAGGATCTAGGGATGAGTTTTTAAGAATAGGAATAAAAATAGAATTCTTATAAGAAGTAGGAAATTTAGAGGTGGAAAGAGATAAATTAACTAATTCGCAAATCAACTTTGCATTTCTTTGTTGCATGAAGTTCTCTACTATACCTGCTGCTTTACGACGTTACGACTTTGCATTATTTCATTTTATTCACTGTTGAAGTTCTTTGTCGGTCATGATGAACGCACACACATACACAAACAAGAACACAGCAAATACCTTCCCGATTTAACTTTCATTCAATAAACGTTATTTACAAGATATTTGAATAATGATAAAATAATGAAGAAATTTTCTACTGTACGACTTTATGAAGATATTGCCTTCACATTTTTCATACATAAAAAAATTTATTAGAAATCACTTTGCATTAAGTTAGAATTATCATACAAATATATTATTTGAGATGAAAAGTTATAATTGACATGCAAAGCAATAGTTGAAAAGCAAAGTGATGTATGATATCTACAAATTTTATTGGCATGTTTATTTTTTATTTTGTTAAGAAAATAATCTTGAAAACTGTTACGAGTAAATGAATTTTCTAATACCTTCGAAACACGTTCAGTTGCTTCAAGAACGTTCATCCACGTTGACAACGGTCTGCTGTTTCAGATTGATTCAACACTAAACTTTTTTATTTTCCGTGTAAACTATTGAACGCTGTGACAAGTAATTTGGTTACAACCTTTGAAACGTATGCTACACCAACTGTTCCCTAAGTTGAGATTGTTGACGCCTGCTTTTTGGAGCACGCGCTGACACTCAACGACACAACCCTACGGCCAATACCAATAAATAAATTCCAGTTAAGTACTAAAACTGAAGTACGAAAAAAGGAACGTACGAATTTATATACGAACTCTTTGAAGAACTTACGAAGTAAAACCGTACGACTGAACGTTAATAATGTTACAGACCTTATTGAGAAAACATTTCCTTCTGTGTGCATCTTGTCACTCTTTGTCAACGATGTCACCATTGTTGTTTTATAGTTTTTAGAAATGATATCATTACTATTAATTATTTATTACTAATTATAGCTCACTCAAAATGACGTTAGGATGATGATCAGACCAAATTAGGACACTTCGTAGACTCAGTCAAAAACTGGAAATTTTGTCGAAATATTCCGCGGCGTGGTGCTTGTTTGAGTTTGTACTTCTTCATGTGTGTATGTGCTCGTTTATGTTGCTAATTATATTTTGAAAGTATAACTTTTTCTGAGAAATTCAACGCCAGGAGATCCTCGCCGATCACACGCAGTGTGTGTGATCATAAACACAAGCCCACTAAGTAGTTGAGCACACGCACATGTTCTTTCCTTCAATAAGGAGGAGCAGCTTCAAGCAGGAGTGGACCCCCACCGACGCAGCAACGCTCGCCCTCACATTCACCTTCACCCTCACATTCATCATCTGTTATTTTTTTTTCTTTCTCATTTACTTTATTATTTTAAAAACTTTCGTTCTCTTTTCAAACGCATTGTTTCAAATATTTATAATATTGATATGGTTATGTAAATTATAAACATGCACATAATTTTAACATTAAACGTCGACAATTGTTTGTCAGCCTTCTTTCGCAGATTGTAAACCAAATAATCCAATTTCTATAATGCTATGTTAATAACACAAATTAAAAACGTACACTTGTAACAATTTGACGCCAAATAATGCAACGCAAACAACTTAACGCAACGCAATTAACGCAAATCAAAACTATAACGTCAGTAAATCGAATTCGCAACCTTAATTTCTAAAAGGCAACACAACAAGCCATTTACTTAAAACTCTGCTATCAACTCGCTCAACATACGTTCCAAAACAACAACTGTACAGCTCTCTACTACATTCACAGCTAGACTTTCCATATAGCATTCGTATGTGTACTCGTACTAAAATCAAACATACAGTTCATTTATCACCATTCAAGTTTCTATTTCACGCGTATATAACAATTGCATCAAACGTAACAGTAATTATTGTTTAGCAGATAATAATAATACATAAGTTGTTTTATTAAATTATTTCATATGAATGCATCACAGTACTGTAAAACTAATGTCAAAATTTATTATATGAATTTCACCAAATATGTGCAACCAAAAAAATACGATTTCAATTTTTATATTTCGGTGGAGGAGGAGCTTTCTTTGGCATTTTAAAAGCTGCTTTTGTCATGGGTTTGTTCTTTTTGGTCCGTTGAATGATGAGCTATTTTTTTTCATCTATCGGGCTCATGTTCATCACCGCTAGAGTCAGAGAGATAGCTTGCCATTGCAGAGTTATCATCAAAACTCGCCTGCTTTCGTTTCGCCCCTCGGTTCACTTTGTTTTCACCAAGGTATTTCATTTCATCGGCGTAACAGCCTGGTTTGTAGTGCTCCTATTTAGTGATTTTGTTCTTCCTGTAATGACCAAAAAATTTATTCAAATCTATCTTGATATTGCTGGTTGCATCGTCATAAGGTAGCCATCATCTGAAGCCTCATCATCACTAACGTCCCCTTTCACATTCGTTGATGTTGGTATTGGAGTGGTCTTCCTGGTTGCTGCAGTTTTACTGGCACTACATACTCTTTTGATCATCGTCCTTCTTATCTAGTGTTATTATTGGAATATATTTTTCCTTTATCAACCATTATCGCACTTTATTTACCGATAGACCGTTACACCGACGTCAAATTTTTGCCATGTAATATATAACGTTATCGTGTGTGTTTGCCTTTAGATATGTAATGATAGCTGATAGAGTATGTTTTTATTGCTCATCCTATCAACATCTGGTCAATAAATAGGAAACAAATTTTACTAAGTTAATTATATCGTCATCATCACTAATATTATATACATTTCTTTGATATTTATTCATTCATTTTAGTTTTTTCATAATGTTTTCTTACATTTTGTAACACATTCTACAACACTGGCAAAGTTTGATTTTTTTATAGATTGAGAAATAATTTTTTTCATAGTAATATAATCTTTTATATTTTCGTAGTAATGTCATCATCATCATTCATAAAATGTGAACTCGATTTAAATTGTACTCGATAGTATTAAAACAAACGCTAATAATACTAAATATACAAATTTCTACCATGTTAATTACTTGAGTTTTAAACAATTTTTTGTTTTTAACTTCAGAGTTGTTAACGCCACTCCTAAAAAGAGGTTAACTCCTAACATAATCACAAAAACAGCATGTAACGCTATTAACATCAACTTTGATGCCTTTAGTAGTCGAACGTGTATCTTTAGACATAATGCCTAACAGTCAAACAGTGAAAATAATAAACCAAACTATCTATAATCTTTTTCAGCAAAACAAAATATCCAGGCACAACAACACAGGTGTCAATGTGACTTTTTAAAAAAAACGAAAAACAAAAATTATAACAATGTTTAAATTACTAATAAAATTTGATATTGGGTGTGGGCGAAATAAAGTTTGAGTTGTTTGAAAACTTCTCCTAGAGACATGTTACCATGTAAACTTTGTTTTTATGGTTGTCACCCGAAGTTGACTTCAGTCAGAAACAAAAACAAAAACTATTCCTGCCCTGACAAGACTTCTTCAGACAAGTTTCAGACGTGCAACACGACAAAAGAAAACTAATTGAAATAATTTTATTAATAAACATAAAAAAATAACCTTACGATACAATTGTTTTCAAAATGTTTTCTAACTATATAATAAACTATATTGAATATTCTAAATAAAAATCAATTCGCAACAGAATAGCAGTTATAACCCGCAGAACAATGTTCGAAATATCACCAATTACCAGAACAACCAAAACCAAAAACGCAGAAACCGAACTAATTGATAACCCACGAACCCTGTTTTTGTTCTCCATCAAACAATTGTCTAAAACACTTACATAGCAATTTAACTGACAATTCATAATAACGTTTTCACACGAACAGATTTTTTTTTTTATAATTCAGTTAAGAAATAAACGCACCTAATTTTCAAGTTCGTGTATGAATGTATTAGACACATTGCATGCATTCGATGGTTGAACTTGAATATCTTCCTTGCATCAGAATTAAATTTTCATCATCCTATTCATCATCCTTGCAAAGCAATCATCGAAATTTTCAATAATATGTATATACTCATATGTGTATATAATAGTGTGTATATTCATTCAGACAGTAAAATCTTTTTCTTATGCGCTTGCATACATTAAACTTTTTCCAACAACCTGTCTTTGTGCTTGGTTGATGAGTACACTTTATATTTAAATATTTTAAAGTGTATTACCTATTCCAATTTTATCATACTTGTTGACTTGTATGGTCTTTGTTGCCCACAATGTGTGAGTTCTTTGAAAACTACTCCTAGGGATATGTTATCATGTAAACTTTGTTCTCATGATTGTCACCCGAAGTTCATTGGTATCTCTGATGGTGCCTGCAAGGAGTTTGCTGCTATTGAGAGTACTTTTTAATGTCGTGTTAGCTGCGAAAATATCGTAAACCTAGGATTGATTAACAAATTATTTGCAAATTAAATTCTACAAAAATATCTTTAAAGAATTCAAAAATGACAACAGAAACAAAACTACAGGGTTAAAATTTATGGTTAACAAAATTCTGGGTTTGAGATCTGGATTAATGGTTTTATAAAAAGAATTCATGACATTATTGCTTCGTCGGTAAAATGTTATAATAAATAGTAACAAAAAATTAATTGAATCAAAAGCAATTAAAATATAATTTAGGAATTTATTTCAATTATCATATTTTACATATGGCCGGTTGGATGAGCTTAGGCGCCCTGATTGCCAGTCGGCTAATCCGGCCCTACTAACCGCTGACAAGACTTCTTCCGACATCTTTCAGACGTTGAATACGACAAACAAAAACTAATTGAAATAAATTTATTAGTAGGCAAAAAAGAAAACTGTCTTACCACACTTTACAAAACAAATGTTTTCCAACTAGATAATAAACTAAATTGATTATTCTAAAGGAAAATCATTTCGCAACAACAGAACAGCAGTAATAACTAAACGAAATGAAAATAAAGAATCCGCAGAGCAATGTTTGAATTATCACTGATTACCAGAATGACCAAAACCAAACACGCAGAAACCGAACTAATTAATCACTCAAGAGCCCTTTCTTTTTTGAAACGATTGTCCGAAACATCTGCTTCTTGTCTCCTTGCCAGAGAATTTCGAACAAAGACAACCACAAGCGAAATCTTTCCATGAAGTACAGGACTGTGATGAATTTGCTATTTACTACAATGGGGCTGCTATTGAATGGGGTGTTTATGAACTTCTTAAGGGGATTGAATCATTGTAGCACGTTAATGTTTGGTACTGGGCTGATGTGGTTTATTTTACTTTTATTATTATATAATGATTTTTAATTTTTCATTATCACTCCGATGCAGTGAGAAAGTCACATTTTGTTTACTCGTTAATTTTTCTATTTTATCCTTTTTTTCTTTTTTTGAAATCGTGAAATAATGCATTGTAATTTTGTTTTCTAGACTTGATTAGAAAAATAAAGTCGAGATTAATTGTGAAAAACCATGTCTTTATATCATCGTCGAATGAATAAAAAACACGATTTTAACACACACATACAAACACACACCGCACACACACACATACACATACAAACACATATACACGCGCATATCAAGACTCATCTTCCTTGGCCGCCAGATGTAGCAAGATTGGCATTTTTAGCTAATATTGTGCTTTTTATACAATGTAAATAATAATTAGTAGATCAATTAATTTTAATTTATAATTAATGATTACAGTAATCGTTATATTTATTACTAGTCATTTTACAAATTATAAAAATACAGCGAATTAGTAACGACGCATACTATTTTATGGATTAATATGAAGAAAATTAATAATGGCAATGACATAAATTTTCTCGTTCACGGCAATATTAATTTTTTAATTCAATTGAAATAATGAACACCGTTATCGAGATGCTCTAGATAATAATAATTTTGGAAATAGTTATAAACAACTGCCATTACTAAAATTAGGAATAACTGGGCTTCCAATTCTTGTAGTTGTGACGCATGTTCAAAATGGTCGAAGCTCTTGCTCATCAAATGAAATAAAACGGTTTTTTTATATAAAGTTACGTGATTGATTTAAAACGTGTGTTAAAAGAAATTTAAAAACAAAAAGTTTGTGAAGAGTCCAAGGCTTCTCACGCAGAATGTTTTAGAAATAAGCTCCAGTTTCCTACAGTGGCGAGAGAATGCGATAGGTATGGCGTATTTGATGTTGCACGAGCTGCTATAGCTACAACTGTCATCACAGACTATGGAGTAATAAAAAAAACGACAAGACAGCTTATTGACTGCTCAAAGCTGTGGCGACAGCTTCGAATCATATTAACGTATAAAGCAAAGGTAACTCTAGCTGCTGCAGGTCCAAAGTCAATTTTCTTTGATGGAAGAAAAGACAAAACTCTTTGTACGTCCTTAATTTGTAGCAAAAATTTTTTTGTTGAAGAACAGTCTAATACGGTTTACCTAGTTCACGTTTCTCCTTCAACTGGATCATCTATATCTATCAAATCTGGTTTCAACATCACTAACTGATATATCAGATGAGTATGAGATTCGCATCATAGAAACGCCATGTCGATCTGGCGAAGAAATTCAACAAATGAGAGGTCAGTTGCAAAATCTAGCTACCGCATGTGATAGAAATGGAGTTCTATGAACGAAAAATTTAAAAATTTTTCTCGTTTTTTTTAAATTTTATTTCAACCAAATCGAAAACATATTGAAAAATTAAAATGTTTAAAATGAACAATACGCTTTGTAAAAAATAAAATATCGACTCAATCATGAAATTCTATTGAAAAAGTTTAACAAGAGAAATGATACTTCCTAAGCATTTAATTGGAAAGTTTTATTTGCACATAGTAAATAATCAAAGTTGTTTGTACATTCTCGGTTAAAACAAAACCCACGCACTACGCGGAAGAAACTGTTTCGCATGTGTGACGAGGAGCAAGTCTTAACAAAGTAATTCTATGAACGAAAGAGTTGAAAAGTTTTTCTCGTTTTTCAAAAATTTTATTTCAACCAATTCGAGAACATAATGAAAAATTAAAATGTTCAAGATGAACAATACGCTTTGTAAAATATAAAATTTCGACTCAGTCATGAAATTCTATTGAAAAAAGTTAGAATTAGAAATGATACTACATTGCAGATGACAAAGACAGTAAATATTACAAGCAAAATTGTAAAACATCAAAGTAATGATTCTATGGACTAATTTGTCCTATAAAAGTTGTAACTATAATTGAAGTAAATTATTGAATAACAATTTGACTCCTCTGTAAAAGTAATTTGAAAAATTTTTCCACATTGCAAAGAAGTTCCTGTCGCTAGAATCTCTACAGAAAATTTCTAATATGAATGAACAACGTTCGATGTCGCAGAAAAAAGTAATCATCTTGCCTAAATTTACTAAAAAGGCACCAGGGCCCATTACCATCAATTTGCCTGAGAAACAACTGATGGTGGCAACGAAGCAACAACCTACAAAACTGCAGGTGCTACCAGATCCTAGTGAGATGATTTTTCCGAAAGACTTGTTAGATCTTCCGGATTATTTGCTTGATGTTCCAGAAGATTTGTTGGATCACGTGGAAGATTTGTTAAATCTTCCAGAAGATTTGCAACATTTTCCAGAAGGTTTGCTACCTCTTCTTCCGAAAGATCTCCCAATTGATTTAAATGGTGAGAATAAAAAAGAAAAAACCAAGACAAAAAAGAAAACGGAAGATATGATTCGCACAGATGAATTTTACCGTGAGGGTTACAGCGATGAAATACTTAATGTTTTGGAACGGGAATTCAGCCAAAACCAATATATAAATCGCTTTGATAGGGAGCGAATTGTAAATGAAACCAGCCTGACTAGTCGTCAGGTTAAGTACTGGTTTCAGAACCGTAGAGTGAGAGAAAAAAAACTGAGGAGACGATTTTTATCCGAGTGAGAAACTACCAATCTCAACAACTAAACAGGAAGCAAATATGTGGATATATCTGCTCCAGCAACCAACTCTACAACAAGCTTCAGTTATAGGAGGTACACACTCCGATGTCCAAGCCGAATCAAGAAAATTGCCCAACAAGCAATTTATGTGCAACATCATACACATCTTCTGAATTTGATTCTAGTACAGACTGTTAAAAGTATCAGCAAGGATAACATATAATAAATAAATAAATAAATTGCTTCTTCAACTTTCTCATCGTGGTTCACTTTTGTACTTTTTGTTTTAGCCGATAATATATTAATTGTTAATAAAGAAATTTTTTAAATTGTAAGATACAAAAATCAATTGAGATCATCTGCAGTCTGATTATAATTATATTGTAAATAGATTACCTTCTAGTGTTGCTATCTTCTAATTTTAAACATGAGATTAAGACGGTCGATTTAGGTTGTCTTTTCGCGGCTGCGGATTATGAGCAGTGCGGATGTGGGCGGTTGCGGACGTGAACTTTGCGGATGTGAGTGGTTGCGGTTTAGAAAAATCTTTTCTGCTTGAGGCTCTAGTGCAAATAGTTCCAACTTTACCACGTGGGGCGACGCTTGGATTCACGAGTATTTCCGCGTTGTTCCGTTGTCGACAACTAGAGAATTCAAAAATTAATATTTCATTTGAAAAATTGATTAAAATCTAGCTGATAGATTTGAAAATTTTTTGTTTGATCATTTCATAAATTAAATCGTATCATAAATTAAATCGTACTTTATAAGACATTTAATTGGGAAGTTTCATTTGCACATGGTAAATAATCAAAGTTGTTGGCGTGGTTTCCACAGAAGCTAGAGTTGTGCCTGTAAATATTAAACGTTGGAACTTTGCGCTGTTTTGATCAGCAGGGATGCGATTCTGTCAACTGTTCACGGTCTTTCACGAGAACTATAGAACAGATCTTCTATCTACAGATATACGAATAATTTATTTTTGTGCATATAACCATGTTTTGTATATTTTTTGAATGTTTATGAATATTAGCTGTTTGTGTAAATTTTTAGACGTTTTGAAAAATATGAATAAATTGAGTGCATAGTCTTATGAAATTTATTTTGAAGATATACATGTTTTCAATTTAACATGCGTAAAGAAGAATAGATATGTTTATGGACAATGACTCAAATATGAGTAGTCAGGTGTGTCGTCGAACCGCATGGCTGGACAGAAATTTAGGTAGGTAGTCATCTCAGCTGGAAGGTGGTGATATTTTCTTCAATGTGGTTGTTGGATTAAACGCTGGTGTTTTCGCAATTACTGGAGTTTCTAGTCTCTCTGAAGCAATGACGTTTAAAAAGTAATACTATATCCAGTGCGTTGAGCGTATCCCACAGATAATCTTGGAACTTCAAAATTTTTATAAACAAAAGGCGTGAGTATATATTTGACATGTATGAATTGGATTTCTTTTCGATATCAGCAAGTTGTTTGGTACTGATAACTCAAAAAATATTCATGTACCTCACTGGCTGGCTTTTATGAAACTCATATTGATGAAAAGGAACTAATTATAGAAATCAATAACTGCAGTGTGTTGCTGAAAATTCGACCAGAAGCTGTCCTAGGAAGCCCGCTTGAAATATTTTCATTTATTATTTTACATGGTGACGATATATTTCTAAATAAGCAAATTATGTTGACCACTTCTGTTTCGTTAAACTTAGTTTTTCTTAGTTTGCTTGATTAAATTGATACTGCAATTTATTTTATTTGTCAATTTTAGGATGTGAGTTTATTGTTGATATTAACAACCATTCAGTTTCTTATTGATAAATCTATTAGTTTATTTAAGGGAATCAGCACAAGTTTATTCTTAACTTCTTGATTGCCTGAATGTCAAATAAAATTTGGAAGAAAATAAAAATTTCTGTTTCCATAGCAAGCTGCAAGCGTTCATTTAGCAAACTAAAACTTATTTCTACGTGTCTAAGAACATCTAATGAACAAGATCGATTCTCTGATATATCATTGATAGGGTGGGGTGTAGCCAAAACGGTTACTTGCCCGGGCGCCAGTACACTTTGGTACCCCCCAGCCCTTATGGTAGTTGTAACGGTAGGAGCGGTAGTTACAGCAGCACCTCTTTTTATTAGTAATGTTAGCCACCATGATTGTATTGATGAAAAAATTAAAAAAAAATTGTTAGAAACATGCAAACTAGTCTTTTTTATATACCAAAACACTATTCGGAAAGTTTAAAAAAATGAAAAAAGAAACTAATAATTAAACGTATGTATATATAAACATAACATAATGATAATAATAATAAAGTTAATGGTCAGA